ATGCACCGTCACAATCACGCTGCATGATATAGCCTACTAGACACGTCCTTTAGCAAACATTACTGTGGGGCGATAATATCTGCAGGGAGGGTAGGTACATAATATCACGGCTACAATATATACGTGTGTAAACTTCAGCTGCGGGCAATATGAACCGATTGACAACAATGTGTGCAGTGAGGGCAGGTACATATTGTCGCGGACGACAATATGTACAGTAACAGTGACTACTTGTTTTAGGATTGACTTTGACCACTAAGCTTACTTGACTGGAAGATCAACATATGCATCAATTATATACACTGTATAAAATTCATATCAAATGTAATTAATTTCTTGAATTGTAAGAATTTAAATCTTTTATCTTAATTACTAGGTGAACGAAATGGAAATGTGCCAGCTAGGTGAAATCAATATTTCATCTGAAATTCAAGTGGTAGATTTTGGACATTGGAAGACCGATTATTTTTTAACAGGATATAGCATTTTTTGTTGAATTGGTAAATGAAAATCTTGGATCTTAATTACTTTTTAAATGAAATTGAAAATTCTAGCTACAGGTGAAATCGATATTTATTTCAATTCAACTTTATGTGTTCTGGAAATTGGATAGTCGATTAATTAAAAACAGTGTATCATGTTAAAAATAATCATGAGATTTAGTCTGTAATTTTTATGTTCATCTTTTATTACTTGCGATATTCTAGATTTGATATGCACAATGGTGTTTTCACTATCTTTCATCAATATTAGTGCGTCATGAGTCACACAATTATATATAAATAAATATATATATCTTTGTAATACAACTAAAGTTTAAAACCCGATCACTGATTATATTTGAAACGAATTTCCATAAAATTAATTGTTAATGCAAAAGATACCTTTAAATATTTGATAAGAAAAAATCTTAATGTTTTAGAATAAACAATGAATTCTTCAAGCACTGAACATCTTCTTATTACGCAGAGTGGAAAATATTACCTATGAGGGGCAATCAGGTTGCCTAAAAATTGGGTCGGGTCTTCGGATTTTATCTTTTGTTTTCTGTTAATGTAAACATCTACATAACGATCTTCTTATACAAAGTTTTCACCTTGTAAATGCCAATATAGATATATAGATTTGATTGCTTATTCTTCAAAATGTGTACAGAAGATGTTTTATATAAAATATTTATCACAGTGAAAAAATGGTTTTATGAGAAGGTTTGTACACCTAACACAAACCTACTTGTATGAAATTGGGCGCGGATCCAAAACCTTTCTGCATATTGGTGTTTTACGTGTTATTGGCCACTTCTTATTGGCCATTTTCCTAGTATATGTTTATCGTTTAACCAACAAATACTTGTGCTTTGTCTGAAAATATCACAGATTTCCTCTGTCCCTGTAACATTCAAATTTTCGTTTTTGACACATTCGATATTTTCCAAATTTCACACAACGCATTTAGTCTTTACTAAACAGTTGTAAAAGATGCACCATGTAAATTCTCCCGACATATTATATGTAATAGCTCTCCACATGCCCCTTGCTAAAAAAAAATGCCATGCGGTTTTAATACAAACGGGGAGTGACTAAGAAACTTTGACAATGATCGATGCCAACACATTTCCAATTGACTTGTGATAACAACAAACCTCACCAAAATTTAAAAAAAAAAACGGGACTGGACGCTTGGAGAGGGGCGGTTGGGGCAATAAGGAGTTGTGTTATAGTTTGCATTGCAAAAGCTTTAATTTTTTTTTTAATGAGAATTATAATTCAAGTTTTCACTCATATAGAGACGTCATCATATACTGGTGAAGGGCTTCAAATTTACTTAGTACAATGTATACTAGGCACTCGGGACCATTGAGCAGTGAGGGTTCTTTATCGTGTCAACGCCTACCCTGACACGGGAGCTTGGTTTTAAAGGTGTCATCCGAAAGACCCGTGACTTTCACTTCTAGTGCCGGACGCTTGGCGAAGGAACAGTCACTACCTATGATTATGTGTTAGGTTTGACGCGCCTCGGCGAACGAGAATCGAACCCGAGCCTCCTGATCACGAAGCGAATACCCTAACCCCCTGGAAACGAAAGTGTTACACAAATACAGAATCTATAAATTTATGACCTTGACCTTTGGACCTCAAAATCAATAGGATTTTCTTTAGGCCATCGGGAGTTGTGATATAACATTTCATTGCAAAAGTTCAAAAGCATCTCGAGATATCTTCTGGAAACGAAAGTGTTACACAAAGAAATACAGACAGACAGACAGATCGACCGAAAATAATATTTCCCCTTTCAATGAAATTGGAGCGACAAAAATTATTGACTGAGAAGAATTTATGCACCCATGGTTCACTGTCATATGCATTTGTGTAATATAATGAATATTGCATGCATTTGGAGGGAAAATTGAACATTTCATCCCAAGAAAGTTTTTGTAAACCGAAGATGCGCCTGCAATAATTATAAAATGGCAAATAGAACATAGATAACATAATTCACGTTCTGAAATGATGAGCCGCGAAAGTGAAGACGGAAACCATTTATAAATGAGGCTGTATAAAATTAGTGATGACAAATGAACCAGTGATTTTTTGCAATATTATACACTTTAAAAAATCAAGGATTAATTAAGATTGTAAAGGAAGCAATGTATTGGGATGATCAGTGAAATGAATATCGTTTCACCTTTTGTTTCAAAATTGACTAGAAGATTTGATAATACTTTTCTTTCTCTCTGCATTTGCATGCATTATCTTAAAACATTTTGTTGCCATGATCAATGAGGTTAGTACTGGGTCTTTTAATTTTTTAATCCGTATTCTCTTCTCCTAAAGTATTAAATTATATTTTATCTTGAGGTAACATAACTACTTCATTTTTTTTTAAATAACTGCATTGAAAGATCGATCTTTGAATGGAATACTTAAAATTGTTTCATTTTACTTAGGCCGTTTTAAGTGTACTATTGATTATTAAATACGTTTTTACATATACGGACGTAGAAGAGTAATTTGCCTGGACGACAATGATAGTGTAGGGATCTGAAATATTTTTACTACCTTTACTGAAGCTGTAAAATAAAAATAACATGGTAAGAATACTTTGGGTTTTTGTTGCGACATTCTTCATTGAATTCTTAGAGACTATTGTTTTGTCGTCTATGTTGGAGTGGACATACAATAGAAAATATACATTCGATGGCACAAATTCCACAAATGAAATTTCATCAAGGAAGTCCAAAACTGCAATTTTCTGTGCCAGCTTTTGCAGTAAAACAATGACATGTATTGCATTCATGTTCAGTGATGAGTTTCGAACTTGCCGTTTTTTGAATAAGATTTTGACAATTGATGACAAATTACCGCTGACCAACACAAATTGGATTTATTTTGAGAAGAACAGTAAGTAAGCAGCTGTAAATATACATGTATAACAACAATAACATAGCATTAAATCAGCTATTTTGATTAGAATAGTTGTCTTTTTCTCACAGTGAAAGTTACTTGGTCATACACTCATTACCTCGTACACTTTGTTTTAATCTTCATGGAAATTCGCCTGTCACACTTATTCTAACATGCTAGATATAATATCTGACATCTTCAAAGGAAAACGTAATTTTTGCAAAGTTTTAAAGCTGTATCGGATAATAGATTCTTTATATGTGAAAAAAAATCTTGCATACCATTCTATGGAGAAAATTTACATCCATCAAAACATGTTATTTTCTGGTAATTCTTACCTTCAAGCCGAGATACTCACCTTTGAAGAGAAACTTTTTTGCACGAATAAGATTTTTGCAGAAAATTGAGAATTCGGTAATATTTTCTTAACATCTTACGGAATTACATCACAGTCGTAAAAATCAATTTCTTGCTTGAAGTCATTAAATTCTAATTGTATTTGATTTTAATGAAGAATTATTACAGGAGAATGAAATATGGAGATAACGAACAGTATTCAAGCTCAGTGTCTATTTTAACGACACAAATCGAGAGCAGAGCGAACACAGACCTCCAAAAACATCAGAGGTGGGATCAGGTGCCACAGAGGAGTGAGCATCCACTGCCGATCAGTCACACCCACCCGTGTACTCTTTGTCATGATTGGGAAAAACGGAAAAATCCATTAACAAGTAAGTGTGTAAATAATGGCCTTACAATTAGTATGAAAAACGTCAGTCAGCATTTGACTTAATTTTATGCTGTATTTGCTATTTGTATTTTCACTACTGCAAATATTTTAAAGATGAGTAAAGAAAGAGGCTTGGTAGAATATTTACTGGAACCCGCTATGATAATTTTTGCACAGAAGAATATTCTACGAGATATAAGTTTATTGAACTATTCCCATATCATTTTTTTCTGTTTTCTGTCTTTCTCTTATCATCGGAATAATTGATTAATTATATTTATCATAATAAGCATGCATGGAATATAATAAACACTATTTATAAAACATGTACCAGAGGTTTGCAATATATATCCTCCTCTCTTGCTGAACACATATGTAAACACTTGAATTTCAAATGTATGCCACTGTTATATGAAATGATGCATTGATATGGTTTTTTACACTAGAATTAATAGGCGATTTCTACGGAAGCCGGTTGGTGCCAGGTAGAAAAAATATTTAATCTGGCGGCCGCCAGATAACCTTCTCGCGGCCGCGAAATAATTATCTGGCGGCCGCTACATAAATAACTGGCGGTCGCCAGTTAAAAAGATCTGGCGGCCGCCAGATAAGTTATCTGGCGGCCGCCAGAAAGTTATCTGGCGGCGGCCGCCAGATAAAATATTTTTCTACCTGGCACCTACCGGCTTCCGTAGATTTCAGACGCAAAACGCACCGAACCAAATATTAGACAAAAGACTAAATCTCAAAATGAAATATGAAGATAACGAGTAGTAATCAGGCTCAAAAGTCCAACATGAGAAAGGTGACGATAACGATCAGTGATCTATCTGAAAGAAATATATAATCACTACAAATCTGTGGACATGGCATCAAACACAGACCTATGGAAATTCCAGAGGTGGATTCAGGTGCCTAGGAGGAATAAACATCTCCTATTGACCGCTCACAACCATGTGAGGATATAAACGAGAGCTGAGCTAACACAGACCGCTGAAAACATAAGATATGCATGTACGATCACGTGCCACAGAGGAGAAAGCAACTCCTGTTGACTGGTCACACCCACCGTGAGCCTATTGTTTTGATATATAAATCTGGGGAAAAAAACTAGCTCACAAATAGGAAAAAGTTTTAAGAATTCAATATATATATATATATATATATATATATATATATACAGGAGGCACACTAGAACAAGAGTTTGATTGTCCAGAGGCTTGGAAAGAAAACCAGGGATCTTTGTACTGCTTTGTTCATCAGAGAGTTAACTGGACTACTGCTCAGGTATTCATTAGAAAGAATAAATTCTAAATCAAATAGGTTGTCCTTTAAGTAATTTTTTAAATCTCATATGTTTATACATGTACGGTATTTAATTAAGAATCAAATGTTGTTGTTTTTTTCCCTTCAGCATAACTGTTCATCAATGGGAGCTTATCTGATGGCCATAGAATCTGAAGATGAAGACAACTGGATAAATCAACAAACAGAGTATTACAGGAGTAATGGTAATGTATATTTGATCTTTTGAATTCCTCAGTCAATATTTTTTAAATACATAAATAACTCATATTTGTAACAAAACCCCCTTCCCCCTTTAGTAACACTGAATATCTAAATATATACTGAAAGGAAAAAGAAACGCAGGGTGACAAAATATTTGATAATTATTTTACTACTTGAGCGAAAATCATGAAATTTTGTGTGGGAGGTAATTTGGTTACTTTGCACCTAAGTTGGTGTTCAAAATTATTCAATCTTTAAAGGTATGACTTCACATAGAGAAAGTGGTAAAAAACCAAAAGCACGTGCAGGTTGACGATGACAGGTTTGTCAACAAATTTTGTAATACAAGTTGGTACTCTGCAGCTGGGGTATATACACTTTTTTCCCCCTATTTAAAGTCAATTTGAATTTCGTGCAAAAATGGTACAGCTGACAGAAGTTCAATGTTGTCTGGCAATTGCATTGCCTTAGAAAACAAAGATAACAATAGGTTGTTGAAAAGTTTTTTGTGCATTTTCTACCATAAGACATCTTATCGGTTCCCAGAGAAAGAGTGGAAGAGATTTCGACCTACCATGACGAGAACGTCAGCGTATAACGAGGCCTTGTCAAGACAGGGCTATCCATCCTACCACTGGCGTAATCACGACATTACTACCACCAAAACTACGTTTAATGGAGGAGGCAATTACGAGGTCTTCACTTCATCTCCAAAACTGGAAAAAATACCGACTGCGCGAGTTTGTTCTGCAAGCTTGTTGACGGAGGTGCTCGTCTCAAGAGCGTATGCCTATTTTTTGTCGCAAGTTTACCCAATGTAGCCAGGGTATATCATTCCTTTCTAGAAAAAAAACCCACATTAACCTACTCGACTGTGTCCGTACAATTCACCTTTTTCTCCAATTGAACATTTGTGAGACTAACTAAAGTGTAGAATAAGAAGGCCTCGGAATATCCCGGCCCCTCTTGACCAGCTAAGAGCTACCTTGTTGGAATGGTTAGATAATATTTCTTTGTGATATGAGAAAGATAAATGCACCGAAGACCTCCATGCACAGAAGTATTAAGGCTCTGATCGATGCGTAAGAGAGGCATAGAAATAATGACGACATTTTCGATTTCACTTTGGGGGGGGGGGGTACCGTTAAATAATCATGAGTTTCATTTTCTCTTGAATTATTTGTTAATATCAAATGAAATTTTTTTAACATGTTGATTAAAAATATGTCTAAATGTTAGATAACAATTGGAAAATACATTTAGAAAATTATCATTAAATCACATCAAAAAGCCTACCTGCCTTTCAATATTTATTTGTTCAATTAGCTAAGTAACTTATTGAATCATGTGAAGGTATTAACATTATCTTTACATATATTTCGGAAATGGAAGTAACTTTTTCCATATGTTATAATGATGCTTCATTCTAAAGAAAAGAAAATCTTTTTTGTGAATTGTATTTCTACTCGTAAAAATGCTATGAAGGAATCAAGAGTAACACTTTATTTAAGACCAGACAGTTAAATTACAGTAGGTGTCATAATCACGTTCTAAATTTAGGTTCCGGAATGTCTTAAGGAACGTCTCCATATCGAACAGAATAGGGCAGTTTGTCCTACAAAGATTATTGAATATTGACATTATAGTGATTTTATTCGTTTTTTCCTGTTGTTTTTAGAAGAGGTGAGACAAATATGATTTCAAAGGTGTATTCTACTATCTTATTTTTCTGATTTGATTTAATCTTTGCACATACATGTACTAGCTTAATTAAGATTTACAAACTTTTTTTTCTTTTGATGGTAAGTACAACGCAATTGTTTCCCACTTTAGGGGTCAATAATTCAGGAGAAATAAGACACTTTTTCATTTCATGTATTAGCTTCATACGATAAAATTAACAAGACATATTGTAAATTTAATTCGGATTTCCGGGGTTTCGGCGTGGGAACCCTGGGGGGACATAGTTTGTCGAGGTGCGCGTCTGGTGTATCAAAATTGGTACCGTATATGATTTACAGGATTCAAATAATTTAGTACAGGTATTTCTACTAAGCGATCTCTTGTAGTGAGGAATGAAGTTGTATATGACGACAGCTAAATTTAAATATTGAGTGTACAAGCAATCTGAAAGGGACAAGTCAAACTGACATGAGAAAAAAGACTCGCTCTACTAAAGACTCCGATTATTGGACTAGATCATAAGAATGAAGTTGATATCCCCCCCCCCCCAAAAATATTTTCAATTGTCTTTACCTGAAAAAATTATGCATGTAACAAAGATTTTAAGGAAAAGGTAATTTTTTGGTATAGATTGCTGAAAAAAATTACTCATTAAATAGGCATGGGTGGAGACTGGTGGTCGGGAGCAACAGACGCTGATTCAGAGGGAACCTTTTATTGGCAACACTCCAGGGAACAAATTGTATTTGAGAAATGGAATCCTGGTGACCCAAGTGGTGGAACAACTGAAAACTGTGTATTGAAAGTATATCTTGGAAATTGGCAAGATTACCCTTGTTCAATGGAATTTCCCTATATCTGTGAAAAATAACTATAACAAGTCAAACGGTATTCAAACCTTATATGTATGGCGACATTTACAAATTATGCCTATCTTATCAGAAACACTGTTTGATTTTTTAATTATCCAAAAATGTTCCAATTTATGTTTATTTAAGAATATTTATCGGCCTTCAATATTGATAATGAAAATGCTTTTACTCATCATTCTGCTGAAACATTAATGATTTTTCGAAAAGAGAACATATATAAATAAAATAGTCCTGAAATAAAATCCCTTGTAAAACATTTTTGAAATTAAGATAACGCAGTACACTGCTATGTCAAATATCATAAGAAAAATCATTTAATTCATGTAATATAAATATATCTGGGTACAGGTGTTGCGGCTGCATAGCAAACCTTTAGTGATGTGTATGTTTCATAGTTATTTCGTTATTGATCTAAAAGATGTTTACACTTGGTACACCAAATTCTGTGTTTAATTTTAATTACGTGGATAGCGCTTACCTGCTGTATATATTTCCATTGTCTGTTCTAAAAAGAGTGTCTTTAGAATTATTATGATTAAATAGAAGTCTGGTAATACTCAGCATTGAAAGATTTATTTATTACCGGGATTTCGTTACATGATAACTGGAAATGCATAATATTCAGTAATTGCAGAAACCGTATGGTAGAGATAAATATATATATATCCGGATTGTGAGCAACTGTAGTAAAATTAGATAATTTATGACTTCGCAATTAGGGATAATTGTGAAAACATAGCGCGAGGGTAAAATATAATATTTCCATTTCTATTTGTTTTCTCTGTATCTTTGAAAGTAAGTTGACTAGAATATCTTGATCATTCTACCGAAATGCAAATTTCGCAAAGCGATAGGCCAGGATATAAGGAGGCCTGATAGCCATGTAAATCTCGTGCGTATGTCCTAGCGTCTGACGCTGTGTAGGCCTAATATGCATGTAAATCTCGTGCGGCTGTCTTTGTGTTTGACCTCACAGGGCGGGGACTATTAAATTGACATGGGAGACATCGTGTAATTTAAATCTATTAGTCTACATTTTTAAAATTTACTATTTTATTTCACAATGCAATGGAAATATAAGGAATCACTGTCTAGATAGTAGAGTATGCCAGGGACATCAACGATAGTTGGAAACGTGGGATAATTTATGCATAACGGGATTCGCCCGTTATGCAAATTATCCCACGTTTCCAACTATCGTTGATGCCCTGGCATACTCTACTAACTAGACAGTGATTCCTTAAATTAATTGTGCAAGCCAAGAAATGTGTCCTAATTAGAGTAAAATGACGACTAGTCATTATTTGATTACTGAAGAACGGTTTATAATTTTGTTTCATTTTCAGAATTCTAAATTTATACATTTTAAGATATGTTCCTGATCGACGACGATCTTACTGTGACGCTAATAATTTACTGTGGCGGAAATATGGCGCTATTTTTTTAAACTGTGGTGCGAAGAAATTTAACTGTGGCGGGACCGCCACGTTAAAAGGCCAATGGAGAACCCTGCCCTGTGTCAAGTAAAAGATACATTGTACGATTTTTTTTAAAATTAATTTTGTTCACAGAGAATAATCTTATTTTATTGTATTAAGAAAGCTTTTTTAAAATTTTGTAGAATGTTTAGCAATTAAAAATTCACAATTTATAGATGATTTTTTTATTTGCAGTGAACATTTAAAAGAATTCATTGAATTTTCAAATTTTGCATGCTAAGAAAATAGTTAACTTTAGCACATGTTGTTATGTATATTGATATTTTTTTTTAGTTTTTCAAAGAAATGTTCAATAATGTTTTTTCTCAAAACAATTATATACTATGTGCATTCAAGGAAACGGAATGAAATGCTTTCTCCCTCAGAATAAAACAGCTAGACATAATTATCCTAGAGAGATATCTTACAGATAGTAAGAAAAACAAGGAGTCGGTAGTTTGTTTCTAGTAGAAAATCTTAACCATAAAAATATTTGCTTAACTTTTGAACTGTTGAGTGTTTAATTGTGAAGTAATTTGCCTGACATTTGAACAGATTCTTGCTTGTGTATGCAACAAGAATCTTTTCAAATGTCAGGTAAATTACTTAACAATTAAACACTCAACAGTTCAAAGGTTAAGCAAATATTTTCTTGCTTGTGTATGCAACAGGTGTTTTCATACCATTCTCGTACTGGATAAAAACTGTCCAAATACCTCGATCCCCGACGCATTTGTCTGTAAATCAAAAGTTTCATTCAAATCAGGTAATTTAAGTCGGAATGAATCCTACCAGACCTAAAAATGAACGTACCAGCTTTTTTGATGAAGGTTTGGAAAAGTTGTGAATACCGGAAACTTTGTCAGGAGGAGGTCTAAATTCTTCATTTCCCGCACAATGTCCACGACACTCGAGGCTTCCGTATCTAATGAAACACTTGCTTGGTTTTTCAGTCAAATTAGCTGCACGAAGTCTTTGCAGAAGATGCTGAATCACGTCGATGTGTTCCTAAAATGTACGAGTATATACAATTACATCGTAATCAAAGTTATCAACACACTGCATTCCGTCGAAAAGCTTTCACAATAGGCGACTGAAACTTTTGGAAGCTTTTGTCAAGCCCAAGGGCATCAACCTGAATTACAACAAACCAAGTGGTGCTTGAAAAGCTTTGATCTCCTTCGCTGCTTCATCCAGTGGTAGCTGCCAGTATCAAATTTCGTATCATATTTACAGCCAGAGAGTTGCACAAAGATATGATCAGCATTTGGAATAGTTTCTGCATCGAGATCCGTTACATTATTAATTGCACGAAAATTGTTACAAAACCTGTTCGAACCATCTTTCTTTCTAAGGATGACTATCGGAGAACAGTATGGACTTGTCGATGGCTCGATCACAAAAGATTCCATCATCTTCTTAACCTCGTCATCACAGACAAAGCCTCTTGAAATAAACATCAGAGGAAATTTCTTGTTGCGGATAAGCTGGTCATTAGTCAACTTGATATGAACACTGAAATTACTTTTGCATGTTTTGTAGTCCTGCCTTCCGGAGTGGTCCGTTGACATATGTAGCATGATCTACAGAATAGACGTACGTCTACTTAACCCCCCTGCCAATAAAATTCTGCTAGGACTTCGCTGGCTTTCCTGGAAGTACCTAGGTGACGGTCATAATAGTCTCATGGGCGAGAGAAAGAATTCCAGTCCTAAATTTCTTTGGTATAACCAACAACGGTGTAAATCGCTTTACAATCTGATGTTTATCTGCCTGGAAAACACGATAAACAATAGCTTTTTCACTGATGTAGGATACCATGGAGTCCCCATCTTGGCCTACCAAAGAGCGTATCTTGTTTAACGTCTCGTCTTTCACCTCTGCTGCCTTGATGCCGTCATGACAGATATCATCGTCTATGATTTATGGAACACAAAGAAATTTAGTCTTCTTATCTTCATTTCGAGCTTGCTGCCTTGTCACAACTGCATGAGCTTGATTTGGTGTCAAGGTTTTATTTGGATCCTTAATAACAAGGAATACATTAGGTTTTCCAAACACGAAGCGTTCGTTTTTTGTACGAAGTATGGAGTGTCACTTACGCAACATGTGCTTGAATTATAGACTAATCCTCCAGAATGCAAATTTGATTATTTCTTGTAAGCTGAACATCATCTAACTAATACCTGCAAACTACAACGCCGTTACAACCGGTGTCTCTTAGTACTGTCACAAAGTTCATTTAATTTGCCATTACATATCTTCAAGAGATGCTCTTACGTTACATGATGAAGTATTTACAAGGTTCATCGAACTTGATGCCATTGGAAATGTAGACTCATTTGTAAAGAAAGGAAACGATCCACACTTGCCTTGTAATTTCGAGTATCTGATTGACAATATCTTTGTAGTGTTTGGAGATCAAGTCTTCCAAATATCTGTCGGAATTCCCATGGGAACAGCTGCGCCCCGTTATCATCAGACCTATTTTGTATTCATATGAATTTATTTAAAAACTTATACATGAAAAGAAGAAAATACTTGCTGTTTCCTTCAACTCGACGTTCAGATATATCGACGACGTATTATCAACGAACAAGAGTACTTCTTGTTGCATTCTAAATTTTATAATATTAAAGACAAGTGATGAATTATAATTTGATAAATAAGATGCATACAAAAGCTTTAAACATACAATATGAGAAAATTTGAGAAAACATAAACATGATAAACATACCAGATAAATATCTGGATCATCTGGTTCAATAACGTCTTTCTGTGAGTCTGATTGATTGGTTGTACACTGTGCATGTTGTGACTGCTGAGATTCCACATCCTGAATTGAAAGTAAAAAAAATATGTAGAGTTTCAACAAATTTGATCATCATAGTTGGTATATCCAGGGGCACTGTAAGTTAATGTAAATATACTTTTGGAGCATTTATTACATGTTTTACATGCACATGTATAAAATTTTAGAGTTTTATAAACTTCCAATATCCATTGGCAGATGATCTATTTGGGGGGGGGGGGGGGCACTACATTCACCAGTGATAGTTACATGTATATGACCATATGTTGAAATAACCGCATTGTAAGTAATTATATTTACAAAAAGAATAAACATTTAAATTCAATCTTACCTTAAAACATTCCCTTTTAAGAAAAGCAGATCGCATTTTCTTTTGTTTGAAGGACGCGATGTTGTTGGTGCATTTAAGTCAGAGGAAGATTTCTTTCCTGAAAGAGGATTCACTGTCCTAGCAAAATGAATAGTGGGCACTGCATGGGGTAAAAGCGACTTTTCCTTTACCTCCATACCGAAAGACTTCTTTATCATGTATTCCATGGGTAGCAGTGGTGAGTGAAATGTTTCTCGCAGAGAACAGATTGAGGGGTCGGACTGGTGAAGTCTTTTCTTTTAGTTTTAACAAAACTAATCCAATGCCGACGGATATCTGGTCTATCCTCCTTAGGGAATTCGTGTAAGGACACATTATCTTTATGTGTTGATGTGCAGCCCGCTGCAACGCAAAATTTTCCCGTTCTCTTCTTCGACATAGACTTGCTTTTCACTCTCTGTAATTCTGCATGTCACACTTGTGACGTCACTTCCAGTGTATAGCTAATTTCAGTGCAAGGTCTCAGGCGTATACTTAGCTATTTTCAGCAATATTTCTAATTAGCGAGAGAGATAGGAGTTGCGATGCATATCATTTTACTCTTAATTATAATGGCTATCGGACAATGTTAAAATGTAAAAACTACCAAGCCTTTCTTTCAGGTAAGTTTTTTTTTCGTATTTAATTTCTGCCAACTAAAGCAGTTACTGCTATCCGAGTTTTCAGTTATCCGAGCAACGGATCTTTCGTCAGACCCTTAACCCCAGGTATCGTGTCTCAGTAGGTGGTGGCACGATAAAGAACCATCACTGATACGTCATAAGCGCTATATATAGGTCAAAATTTGTAGCACTTAAACAAATGCAGTTGACGTCAATACATGACTGAACAATCCTCGAATGGGACGTTTAATGCTTTGCAGTCAATCAATATATTAATATATGTATTTTCATTTCTTTTTCCAGTTGGGATAGGAAAATACTCTTTATAGCCTAAGATTCAAATAAAATTTTCTTACAAAAATGTGTCCATCCTCTGTTATCCTTGAAATTTTTTCGACTTCGTTCCAGAACCATCGGGTCAATTTTGATCATATCTATATTGGCTCCTAGCAACCTTGGGTGACTGAAATTATTTTGTATAGTTGACGGTCTTCGTAATTTTCAAGGAGATGAAAGTAGAAAAATAAAGAAAACGGCAAAGTGTCTCTTTAGTATATAAGGAGAAAATCATCAAAATCTGCCTTAAATAAGCTGATCATTATTTTTTCTGATAAAGTAACATCCCTTTGTTTTGAAAATTAAAGTATGTTCACGTCTTAGTTTCTGTGTGAAATATAAAAAAATTCAAGCACAAGAATAACAAGGCTACATCGATATTAATCCAATAAATGATTAATTTCATCAATGAAAAATTAACGATAACTATATGAGTTTAATTTCGCCGTATATGTATTTGTCAGAAAAGGTACATAACTCATCTACGCTATGATTGATTGAATTGCTATCAGCGTAATATTCTATTTAATTAGTTAAAACAGTTTTATCAAGTAATAAAAGTTATAAAAAGAAATACTGATTTCAATAATTTGAACACGAGATAAAATAAACGTGTGCTTATTTCTATTATTTTATTTCATTTAGATACGTCTGGTGCAGCAAAATTGGTACCGTATATGATTTACATACAGACTAGATTACTAAGAAACAATATTCAAAAAATAGAATAAAAGTGACAGAAAAAATAATCATAAGCATATCTCCTTACGATGGCATTACATTTTTAAAGAAGGAAATTAAACAGTGGTTACATAACTATAAGATGAAATACTCCATACAAGTCAACGAAGTATTTTTATTAGAATTAAAAGTAACTTATGAATTTGTTTCAAAATTATGAAAAAATATATATCGTTTTCATTTAAGAGTAATCATTTCCGTACATAACTATCAAGTATCTTTCAAGATTCTATTTTACACACTTGAAAGTAAATTTATTGCAGATCTCCTGAACTCTTAATAAATCATAAAAATCCAAATTCATGAAAAGAATAGAATTAGTGGAACGGATAGTTCAAAACATATTTCACGTGGGGAGACAAGTTAATAAGGTCATTATAACAACCATAGAATTTACAAAATGCTGACTTTAAACGAGGCTGTTGAAATCCCTGTAACATCAACGTATCTGTGGGTAACATTAAAAATTGATCGTACTCAGGTCATGCTCTTAAGTATCGAAAAAGTTGGGAGAAATATCACCATATGCAGGTGATAGCGGAATATTACCACTTAAATAAAGTTGACGATGGGAAAGTGAAGTCATCTCGTTTGTCATACAATATAGTATCTTATCGTCTTAAGTCAGTAAAACTTCCAAATATGAAACAGATGTGGCAGACTCTGTATTGTCTTATTTCAAGTTCAATGAGATATATCGAGTTGACATATGAATGAAATAATCATTGTTAATTGATAAAACGTCGTCCATATATCTGATTGTCGTGTTGAAGGCCATTTGGTGACTTTAAATTTTCTAAAAGTTTTCTTTTCTTTTTTTTGAGTTTTGAGAATCCACTAACTTACACAACTTCTAGAATATGCTGTAGCCCAGTAAATGTGAAGTTTCTCCTTTACAGTACATTTGTAGTTTTGTAAGGAGTATGAAACAGGGGCTCGGTAGACCTTTGCTTGACTCTGCAATGTATCTTTGTAAGGATTTTATAAAGTTTATAAATCCAGTACAGGTAGGGTAGATGGAACTCACCTTGTTTGACTGGAATGTTAAAATTATTAAACACTGAAACGTGATTTTGAAGAATTTCATCGTTAGAAAGTGAACTGTGAGTATATATAGGATTTCCAGACTTAGAATTAAAGTTCTAAAATACAGTTATAATATTGAGCCTTACAAACAGAGAGATATTGTTCAAAGCCTTGTCTGGTGGAACCATAATAAATGGTTTATGTAGTCTCTCTAACTCTTTTATCGCCTCCATTTTAGTGAAAACGGACGGTTTAGATGGTTCGCATTTTGCCTTTTAATTTTCTGATTCTTTAATATATTTCTAAAACACTTCATCCATTCTGACAAATTGTTTAGGTCTTTCTTTTTGTATTTAGCCCAACATTTGACATAACCTTCGATAGAATTTACAATATAAATGAAGTGCTGTCGTCAATTCAAAGATCGGGGTTCCCTGCATTTAGTTAAAAAATTCATTAATAATTTTTTGCCCCCCCCCCTCTACCGTTCACGGTCGCTCAGTCGGTAGAGCGCTTGCTCCGTGATCGGGAGGTCGTGAGTTCGAATCTCGGCCCCGACTGACCTAAGTCGATAAAATTGGGTAGCTACTGTTTCTTCGCCATGCGCTCGGCACTTTGAAGTGAAAGATGCGGGTCCTTCGGATGAGACCTTAAAAACCGAGGCCCCGTGTCACGGCAGGCGTTCGCACGATAAAGATCCCTCACTGCTCAATGGCCCTGAGTGCCGGGTAAAAGTCAAAATTTGAAGCCCTTCACCGGTATATGGTGACGTCTCTATATGAGTGAAAAATTCTCGAACATGTCGAATGGGACGTTAAACAACATACAATCAATCAATTCCCCCTTTTTCAGCTCTTCAATTTTTTTATTCAGATATTTCGGATTTCCAACGTTTCGGAATGAGCATCACTGAAGAGACATAAATTGTCGAAATGCGCATCTGGTGCATCAAAATTGGTACCGATCACGATTTACATTTAGAACCTTTAAGGTTTTCATTTTCAACAATATTAATATCACCAGTAATGGCATGTTCAGCGGGACAGTACTTGAAAGAAAGAGAAGAGCAAGAACGCTTAAGAGGATTTTGTTTTAGATTTTTAATATCTAGGCACTGTAGGGTTTTTATAATAATAAGTCTAGAAGCAACAGTTTGAGAATATCTTAGGAAATGCAGGGTGTAGTTTTCAACTTGAAATATGGTGGAATGCAAGACTGAACTTTTTTATGATTAATAATGTTACTTATGTTCACAGCATCTATTCCTTTGTTGGCGAATTAAAGTTTAAGGAACCTATAGTAGACTCGTGGTGGCTTAAAGAGCATATGCTAGGAAACATCCACAATGACAAACAATTGCTTGTATTCTGCAGTTGAAGAATCTAAGTATGGACTTGCTTTAGCTTCTTCAAATGGTCAAATTTAAAATTTTCAAGGACACTTAATATAAGTTTAGTGCGAATGTGATGAAGACCTTATTGTTTATTGACATTAGGTAAAATTGAATCCAAAGAGACACCATGTATATAATTGGTCGATCGTATGATCAATGTCCTTGACTACGCCTAAGTCTAGGTGTATTGTTAAAAAGTCCCATTACATTCACATAAGCGTATTGTGGGCTTGAAAGCTTCCCTATTTTATTTATGTGGTTGTTGCAACCATATGGAAAGGCCATGTCTAGTTTCCTGATCCAGTATTCTTCTCATTGTCTACGAAATGGGGTACTCAAAGTGAGACTATTTGTTGGATGATGCATATTTTTCCCAGGACTCTAACTCTCATGGAAGGAATAGAGTGGTCAGGCAAATTAAAATGTTTATAAAGATGTTGATGGTCAACATTGTTTATTTCCAACCTATGACTCGAATTTTTTTTATTTAGTGAACCTTTTGTTTCCCCAATATATATCAGTCCGTATAGAGTGAGTTCATAACAAAGTAAGTAAATTAATTTGCAAATTTCTGATTGTCAATTCTTCGCCCTACTTACAGACAATGTGCTGCATTTAATTATTCTCTCTTCAGACGGGAATATTGGTTGTTTCATATTCACTTGAATAAATTAAAATCTTATGTATAAACCTCTCTCAGGCAGGTATAATTATTATATCAATATTTTTTTTCAAGCATAAGGAAACTTAGGCAGGTATAATTATTTTTCAAAATCGTTCATTGATTCCCCTTAATAGAAAATCAGTTTTCCTTTCACTGCACTTTCACAAAATGTGTGAATATGATATCCATAAGAAATGTATGTGCTTTATATATGCTTATTTCCTTTGAAATGCTTGATCTTAGTGTCTCTTCTCTACTTATTGAACAGAAATATATGAACCAGAAGTTTGATGGCTCAAACATGACAAGTGAAATAGTGTCCAAGAACTCCAGTAGTGAAATATCATGTGGTATGCACTGTAATAGGATTATGTCCTGTGTATCTTTTTTGTTCAGCTTTAATCTGCAGACATGTCTCCTTCTGGACAAATTAGTGACGACGAACCCTAAGTTACCCTCCGACGGAACATGGTTGTATTTTGTCAAAGCATCGGGTATGTGTTTTCAGTATTTTTAATAAATATACATGTTCTCATCTGGTGCATTTCTAACTTTGGAAATTTCAGCAACTAAGAAATTAATGACCTTGGTCTTCACACATTTACGTAATGATCTGACTGCAATAAGCATAAATTATTTAAAAGAATTTTAAGCAATTATTTCAACTTCAGATCAAGAGAACTTGATGAAACTTTATCAGACTTTGATTGATATTAAATAATATACCTGAAGATGAAATTTGCCCCAATCAATATGAGGGGAATCATTTTTCCCACACCTTCTGGGAATTATCAATTATGATTTTTTCGATTTGAAAAAAGTATACTCCACAATTACTCCACAATTAAATGCTGAAATAAAGTTTTAAAAGTGGAACCTATAGTCTCTGAAAACAAACAATATTCGTTAATAATTTCTAATACTATTTATTGGTAGGTTTTCCAAACGTCTTAAAGCATACTTTTTAGAGCTTAGTGATTACAACATGGGAAGATTTACATTTTACTCAAGCATTTGTATATTTGTATATATATATATATATATATATATATATATATATATATATATATATATATATATATATATATATATACATATATATATATATATATATATATATATATATATATAATGTGATCTATTAATAAAGATGATAGCAAATAAATATAACGATAAACAAATTTATGATTATGATCCAATAATTAAATAAATGTTTTAGTAAACTAACAAATTGATTAATTTGCTAATATAGCATGCAAATTCGACGCATTTTTTTTGTTGAAATTTTCAGAATAGACTTGAAAACAAAACACGACGTGAAAGCCTTGAGCAATGCAATTTAAGAAACTTTACTAATAATGAAATGTGATTGAAAGCTTACAATACGGGGTTGTAAGGTGTCACAGTTGTAATTAAATTATTATTATTATCATTATCGAATACAACCGGTTTTGCAGGTATGTGAGAGCCATATGCGAATGTTTTGTTTTGTACAGGTGAATTTCTATTTTTAGCATTTCTATACGTATGACTGACCAGTGACCTACCATGGATCAATGGATTTCACTATACTAATTTATATGCATGTTTTACTAACTCGTGCACTATATAAAGTAAGAAACCCGCGAAATTCCCCACCCCAAACTTGTGTGCCTTTACGGTAACAGATAACGCAACTATTTGTTATACCTTAGATCGATTTAATCGATGTGTATTATTTATTCCTGACTTTAATACTGGATGCCTGGTAAGATGTTCATTAATCTTGTAATTCATTTACTTGTTAATTATATGTAACGATCTCCTGGCAGTCGTATTAATATCTTAATTACCCTTACTTTTTGTTAATGTTTAAATGTCTTTATGTTTCGTGTTTGTCTTTGTCTTTTATGTTGTATGAGTGTTGTGAGTGTGTTTTTCTATTTTCTAGGTTTTTTTCTGTATCCATAATTAAATTATAAGACCGAACCAGTTTTGTTTTCACTGAAAAAAACAAGACCCTGACCCTGTGACATAAGGATGGATCCAGAAACAATAGAGGCGAGATTGCAAGTTCAGTGTGAAAATTAAAAAAAATGAAAAAAAGAGAAAAAAGTCAAATAAATAAAAGATGTTTCGTCGGGGAATGGTTGACTCCACAGAAATTGCGATAGTCTTTTCAATTATTATTGACTGCTAAATGAGTCTATGCTTTTGTATAATAGTTGATTTCTTAACGTTCCGAGTCCTGAAAGGGTTTAATTAGTGTAGATGGGATTAAGACGCAGTATTTTGTGCGTTATTTTGATGAATTATTTTTAAAATACTAATTAAGTATTTTTTTCCGTTTCGAAAAACAGATAGATATGTACTAGTATTCATTTTGATAAATCTTTCAAATATTTATCTTGTTTGTTATGTTTCAACGGTCTAATTAAAAGATGGAAGGCATGTAAAAGTTAGAAGCATTAACCAAAATTATTTAAAGCCAAATGTGTCTTTATATTTTCCAATAAATAAATTATCTAATTACTTAATTAATCAATTAATAAAACAAAAATCACAAATAAACAAACAAAACTATAAATCAATAATAATGTAGTTTCTTTTGATTTTTATGAATGACTATTACTTGCAAATATGATTTTTTTTTTATGATTTGCTTTCCTTTCACCACTTGAAGTTGTAATGAAAAAAATGTATCAATTGTTTTAACCTTTTCCCCCTGTTACCTGTTGTTTTCATTATTGCTGAGAACCAGGTGTCTGTTTCACCAAAAGTCCCGGTCGTAGCTCTACGCAGGCGTACATTCGGGAATCTAAACTTAATTTTTGTCAATGACCTCAGAATCATTGCATTAAAATTCTAAAGTTGTTTTATGCTTTATTGCAGAATGTCCTATATCATGGGAGATGAATGGGAAAAACAAATATTGCTTTGTGAAAAATTCACTTCCTTGGACGTCTGCCAAGGTGTGTCTTTTTTGAAACAAATATTTTCTGAAGCAGTGTAACTACTGCAAGTATGAGGTGGTATCTTATTATATGCATATCTATTTATTCATTATCGAGCCTTTGATGATATGATTTTCCACAAAAAACTAAATATTTGAAAAATTTTTACAAGAAACGTACCCTTTCGAAAAAAAATATATGCATGAATTTTAAAGGGGTGTGTGCTTGGCCGTTTTAGTAAGTTTGTCTGAAATATTTCTGAAAAAAGTGTAGTGTTATATTCAATGAGATTATAGGTCATGTGTTTCATTCAAGAAAAAGAGAGTTAATGGATTTGATTTGTTTTCAGATCTTATGGTAAAATGATTGATAACAAAATAACAAAAATTTGAAAAACATAGTAATTCAAATAGTTTTCTTCTCGGATATCTGAATACTCCATGTTATCTTTAGAAAAGATATGTTCCTTTTACTTTATCATTTCAGGATAGCTGTATTTCGATGGGAGCACATCTTCTTGCAATAGAAACTGAAGCTGAACAAACCTGGATTAATGTCAAAGGTACGGTTTCATGCCCAATTGAAGCACTATAATTTTTTCACTGTATAAATTAATGGAATATAGATAGAAATAAGTATTATGAAAATTTTCTAGACTGGCAGAATTTAAGAACCTAAAACATAATGTACAATATATACATAGTGTATGTTTTAATGGGTAACAGCTAAATTCGACACCTCTTGGAAATCCACGGTCAACCAACACGGAAGAGAAGTTTGAAGATGCTTTACCGATGGGTGTCAATTTCAACTAAGGCGTCGGTTGACCATGGTTTTACGAGGGGCAAATTTCAATGTTACCCCCTAAAACATGAACCATTCGTTTTATTATAGTGAATGTTTTATTGATATATGATGAAAATTTTTAAAAAGTTGAAGATTGAAGACAATTTTGAATGGCTTTAAAACTCTCCACTTCCATTTTTCTAAAAAATAAAGCTGAAAAAGATCACTGACCCCTTTTCCGTTCTTTTTAATACTCAGTGTCTTTTATCATCTTAAATTTTGTTATTTCTGCATTTCCAAGTATTTAAGTATTATTTTGGTCTGTGGTTTGTTGTTTTCAATCAACCCTTATATCGTATACAAGATCTGATCCCTTCAAATGCACAACTGACGTGTGAAATCTACGGCAAACCGCACGTTATGTTGAATGTTGCTAAGTGTATTGCTAATACTGATGTTACATTAAATAAATATTGCTTGTAGTTGAGTGTAGCAATAAAAATGTTCACCCCCAAGAAATCTTATTGTCAACCGAGGTGTAGTCGAGATTGACAATCGTTTTCAAAGGGTGAAAATTTTCCATTTTACACTTGCGTACATGCAATATTTATTATATTATACTAAATGTTTTATAAAACTACATGTTCATATAACAGTGAACCGTGCGCGCATAAATTTTGCGTAGTCAATATCTTTTGGAATATCAACCGTCTTCAAGCAATGTTGACTGTTATTACGTTTTATCATGGTGGGGTGGCTAGTTTTCACCATTCAGAGGGTAATAGTATTTTTTACCAAATGTTCCTCGGGGGATCAGATTCAAAATAAAAATTGTCGACGGATTTTTCCGTTATTTCCCGATCATGACAGGGAGCACACGGCGGGTGTTACCGGTCGGCAAGGGATGCTCACTCCTCCATGGCACCTGATCCCACCTCTGATGTTTGGAGGTCCGTGTTTGCTCTGCTCCTATTTTGTATTGTATAATGGACTTTTGAGATTGAATACTGTTCGTTATCTCCATATATTTCATTCAACAAATTTACATGGAAGCATAATATGACGAATTGTTAAATGCATCTAAACCAATTCGATTTTAGTATTTTACATGAAAGTTTAATAACATAGAATACCATCATACAAGAGAGTTTTTTGTATTTTAACTTTCCCCAATCTATGTTTTAATAACTACATTATGAAAATAATTTATACTCACATTTTTCCTTGTCTTTCAGTGATGTACAAATATTTATACCCTCTTATATAAATATTTCAGCCTCTGGTTACGCATGGTGGATCGGGGGAACAGATACAAATTCAGAAAACACATATTACTGGGAACACACTAATGATATGATGAACTTCTCAAACTGGGATGATGGTCAACCTAATGGGGCCCAAGATGAAAATTGCGCAGTAATGCTTTACTGGGGCGGTTGGCAGGATTACCCATGTAGTTCAAATTTTAACTATATCTGCGAAAAATAAAATGAATACAGTGAACTTTGGAGCTTTGAATAATATAAAGTGTATGTATTAAATTATTTCTAAGGAGAATGTCTAACACTTACTTTATTATACCTATTCCACATTTTAATAGGGATGAAAATAATTTCAATTTGATGCAGGAAGCAGCTATGGATAAAATTCAACTTTTTTGTTCATGTGCAAATAACTTTTCTGTATGACTGCTGGATACAAAGATTTTTTTTGGGTTTTTTTTTTACGACTATTCCATCAAATATTCATTTATTTTATCATATTTAATCACTTACGTAAAAGGATCATTTTTTGAATCATAGTTTTGAATATCCTGAATCGATATATTAATCATGTCTATAATAAAAAAAATAACAGTATAAAGAACTATGACTATTCATGCAGTAATTTAAAATGCCTAGATTTTTACACAAATCAGCTTCTGCATAGGAAAATCAGCATTTAAAAACTAGAATAATTAAAAAAAAAGAAAGGTAACAAAACGTGATCTTATTCGTATATCTTATGGCACAAATCGTTTAAAACAATACGTCATTTTTTTATCTCTCCATTCATAAAAGTTGTGTTCATGGTTGAATATATTTATCTTGAATTAATCATAACACTGTTAAATTTTGAAGATTAATCTCCTTTTCGCTACTACTACGATATCCATGAAAAAAGCCAATACGTGTGATAACAAATTTGCACAGTTGATTCACAATATAATTCATTAATAATGTTACATTAAATTTTTTAGCAACATATTTCAGCTGTTTAATATCTCTCTCAGAATTGTAATGTTCTGTTTGCATTAGAAATTTAATTCACACCTATTACTCATTAAATGAGTATAATATACTACATTGAATTCGATGATAAAAACAAAAAAGGGGGGAACCATTATCTAAAATCATAATCAGAAGTGGAAAATCTTGTACTTAAACTGGTTTATATCCTGTATTGCCTTTTTGATTAGTTCCAATTGCAGATATGTGTCTGGAACGTTAATAATTGTTACTTTGGTGCAATTAAACTAATGCAGTCAGATGCTGCTTAAAGCGACTCTATGATAGACTATAATCTATAAAGGATATGACATTCCTCCATCGTGATCAATAAACATTTTCCCATTCTTGAAGTTTCTACTGTAGATTTGCAAACTTTAATTATTCATTGAAATCGAATTGCACTCTGGCTTTACACAGAATCATTATTGAATGATCCCTGTGATGTTCACTGTTATCGTCGAGGACAGAGTTCTGAAAATCAAATCACCCAGTTCTGATATGGAATATGCCCAGATCACTCATTCAAAACCCTAAGATGATAAATCATTTTTTATATTTCATACCTCTGCAAGTCTTTCATTACTGCAACATGTCGATAATAATTGCTGTTAAAAACTCAACTTATATGACAGTCAAAGTCTACAAGTAAAAAAAAATCTATAATTTCTTGCATAATTTAAATCTGGATCTTCTCTTTGAAAATTCAACCTTTCTCAGAAAAGCTGTTACTTTCCTTCAATAACTGCTAGTACATGTATATAGTTGTATGGTTTACTGATATATTTGTAAGATCATATAGATCTGTCACTAGTCAAAAATAAACCAGCATGAAAATATGATTCTTATTTATTTGTCATCCATTGAAATGACATGCTTATTACGTTTATATTTATAAAGCATATTATCTTCCCCCGCTTTTGCGAAAGCCAGGAGACATTAAATCTCAGTTATCTGTCTTTCCCTCTGTCTGTCTGACAGTCTGTCTGTCACAAAAAATAACCTTGATCATAATTTTAATGCGAAAATATAGGGCTTTCATATTTCACATGTACATATCCTGTGACAAGACATTTCCAAATATACTCTGATTTTTGACCCTGTGACCTTGACCTTGAAGCTTAACCTACTTTTCAAAATTTTCAACATTGGTTATAACTTCTGAATGAGAAAAGATAAGGATTTCATATTTGATTCAAGGTCACAGGGTCAAAAATCAGAGTATATTTGAAAATGTCTTGTCACAGGATATGTACATGTGACTCGTGCATCACCTGTGACAAGTTGTTTCCAAACATTCTATGATTTTTGACCCTGTGATCTTGACTTTCAAGTCTGACCTACATCGGTGATAACTTCTGAATGAGAGATTATAGGGTGTTCATATTTGACAAGTGCATGACCTGTGTCAAAAAATTTCCGAGTGTGCTATGATATTCGAGCCCTTGACGTTGATGTTGGCCTCATTTTCAAACATTTTATCATTGCTTCTAACTTTTGAAGGAGCGAAGATAGGGCATTCGTATTTGACACGTACATTGCCTGTGACAAGAATTTTTTCAGCAAATGTACCATGATTTTTAATCCCCGTGACCTTGACCTTGAAGTTTGACTTAATTTTCAAAAAAATTTAACATTGCTGATATCTTTCATTGAGATAATATTTGACATGTTAATTACCTGTTTTAAGAACTTTCCGAATGTACTCTGGTTTTTGACCTCGTGACCTTGACATTAAAGTTTAACCTACAGTAAAGCAATGACTTGGATACCGGGTATATGATAAAACTACTTTCCATATTATAGGGATTTTTAAGGCGTGGCGCTTTATTATGTTTTCTTCATAGTCTGATGAATTTTGTATCAACTATGTTTATGGTAAAAAATGAATAAAATAGAATAAAATTGTTCTCTTGTAAATGTTTCATTGTAATTTACATACTTTTTCATGGATTATATTGATTGATTGTTTGTTTTACGTCCCTTACAAGAATTGTGCACGAATAAGAGACGTTACCAATAAAATACAGATGAAAGGCTTCAAATTTGGACCTTAACACGACCTTCAAGAATGTTGAATAGTGAAAGTTCTTTGTCCTACCAACGTGATATTGGACCTTTAAGCTACCCCAATCGGTACTTCGATATATATATATCAAATATATACAATGTATAAAATTCATTTTTAATGCAGTTGATTTTTTAACTTTTAGAATGGAAATCTTTTATCTTCATTACTACCTAAATGAAATTGAAATATTTTGAACCAGGTGAAATCGATATTCATCTGAAATTCAAGTTGAAGGATTCTGGATATTGGGTGACCGTATATCTATAAATAGTACATTCCAGTGTTTCAGGTTTAAAATAACTAAAGGATTTGGTATGTAATCCTTATGCTCACCTTTTATTACTTTTAATATTATAGATTTCATATACACAATGGTGTTCTTTCAATCACTCATTAATATCGGTGCATTACTATATATATATATATATATATATATATATATATATATATATATATATATATATATATATATATATATATATATATATATATATATATATATATATATATATATATATATATATGTCTTTGGGAGGGGGGGGGTGCCGAGTTGAAGGCCACAGCAAGTGTCCTTTTCTTCTCATTTAGATGTTTTGAATACATTCTGATTCATAGAAATCTAAACACAGGTCAGCTGGTAAGCTGTTCCCATCGGAATTCCAACAGTTTATTGGAAGACCTGGATCTCCAAAGAAGCGAATCGCAAACATTGTCATACGTTTTTAAGATTCATTTCTATGGAAAATAAATATTTGAAGGATTTATAAAAAAAAAAAGTGTACTATTCTTTTTAGATTCATTTCTCAATGAACAAGACATATTTCTTTGAAAGCCTTCATTTTTAAAGATTGTGCAATTTGTTTTCTACATTTTTTTTTCTCAATGAGGAAAATAATTTATGAAAGCTTTCATAAGAAAATCCTATTAAAAAATATACAGCTATCTTAATTGGAATTTTCGACCTTTATTCCACTGATTTAATTATTGTTTATCACGGATAAGGATTTCCATAACATTTCAAACGATATGAATAAAAAATTTGACTTGTTTTCATGTAAATTTGCCATTGCTTTCAAACGCGAGAGGGAGTTGCAAATATGAGAGTATGTGTCAAGAAATTACCCGAGTGTGACGTATACTTTGAATTTGAAGGTGTAATACCTGTATCTCATCACATTATTAACAGCAAGCAACGAAAACGCCATATATATCATGATTAACTCTTCTAAATCCTTCGAACAGCTCTTGTATGTCTGTATCTTTTTAACGTTGGTACTTAGATATCTAAGCCTTATCATGAAATATATGGAGATAACGAACAGTATTCAAGCTCAAAAGTCCATTTAACATTACAAAATAGGTGCAGAGCAAACACGGACCTCCAAAACATCAGAGGTGGGACCAGGTGCCATGGAGGAGTGAGCATCCCCTGCCAACCGGTCACACCCGCATAAATCATGCTGAAATACATGATCTGCAATCAATTTTAAAAAGAACTGCTAAAACACAGTAGCGGAAATAAAAGTAATTGAATATTTCTTTGTCAATCATAATCGTCAAGAGCGGATCAGTTAGTACAGGGACAATCTAGTGTGGGAAAGTTTACAAGTCCTACTTCTGCTGGTCATATCCAGGACCTTGAAATAGGTTATTGCTATACCTTTGCCAAACCCAAGATATTAGCAATTAAAACCTCGGTCTTCGATGATACCTCAAAATCGAGACTGTTTATCACTGTAGGCAATGTTCTTATACTTTCGAACACTACATTGATCCTAAAGCATAAAAGTCTGCTCTGTTTATATTGTGACAAGTTTATTAAAATGAAAATTTATTCTCTGCTGGTTTGATTTGTATTTTTGAACACTAGTTTTTGTTCTTAAATAAGTAAATCTAAAACTTTCACACTCTATGTGGAAACAATTCAAGGTTTATTTAATGGATAGTTACAGTATTATTCCGATTGTTTACTACAGCGGTTGACCCAAGAAACATCAATAAAATTCCTAATCGCAACTTCTCGGTCCTATCCGACAAATGATTAAAACAACCTTAAAAGTGTTACGAGGCATCCATGACCAGTCTGATTTTCGTAAATATTGAAATAAATGTAGGAAGACCTCTTTTCTGTAGAATCCGTGGCTAAACTTCATTGAATGTATGACATAACCATAAATCCACTACAGAAGGGATAATTGATTATGTCTAACCAATCCTTTAATGGACAGAAAGTGACTCCAATTTTGTACAAAAACATACATGTGATTTAAACATTCCAAGCAAGCAATATTTACATTCCATGAAGGCCCAAGTAGAGGCTATTTTAAAAATCCACTCATTGCTGATAGAAAGACATAGGTTATATACTTATTATTCAGCTTGTTATACCAAAACACTTCACATTTTACGTTTATTTCATGCATATATTTTCCTAACATAGTAACCAATTTGTGACTCTTCATGGACTTTTTTTGTTAATTTTTATTTATTATTATTATTATTATTTTTTTTTTTACATTTTTATATGTATGTATAACTGTCGTCCTGTTGTATGAGAAAGCTTAGAACGATAAAAAAGGACGATGCCCAATGCACCTCTCACAGCATTTTGAAAGATGTACTGCATATATTTTTAAATAAATAAAACTGTATCCCATAATCACGCTGTTGATGCTATATCCAAGACATTCTATTGAGTCATTTTTTCAATTTAGTTTCAAATCAAATCTGGACCATTACTTAACCGAACAAAAATAAACCGAAATATAGGTATGTTAAATTTAAATTATTTAAAACAATAGCTGATTTCCCATAACATCACCACTCAACTGAATAATAGAATTATGTCTTATTAGCTTTAGATCAAAGGATCGAGGGGAAAAAAATTAATCTGTTTGCATTTAAAATATTATAAATAAAAGGTTATTTTAACTTCTTGACATTCTCTCTCTCTCTCTCTCTCTCTCTCTCTTGAAAGAGATATTTCATTGCACTTCCATTATATATGAAAAAATGAAAAATAAAATGCACATACCAGCCATTCCAGGATTCGAACCCATTATCAGGTAAAAGAATATTCGTAATATCCACCTGCTTAACCACTAGATTAATTTCGAAACTGATAGAATATGCTATCTTATGTACACTTTTTGCATTTCGCATGAGTAATAATTTTATTCATTTTTTATGGGTTTTTTTAAGTATGCCTTTTTGAAACAAAAATGGGAAATGACGGTTTTGAAGAAAATTCCTGCCTCTGTATGCGTATAACAAATTCATTCTGTTTCAAGGAGGCAATTTTTCAGAACATTAGGGATTCTTTATTTTAAAAAAAGACAGAAATCTGACATATTTTGTTGTGTGACTGAATTGTATTTCATGAAATGACAAATTAGAAGCCGATATGAGTTTCCAAATATTGTTCTACATTGTTCCATACAATTTTTTTTAAAATCAATGCTTAAATTTTCTAAAGTTAAAAGACATTGAACACACTTTTTCTGAAAGGGTTGGATGTAAATTTTGTAATATTTGCAACACAGGAAAGATTAAAGATGAATTTCATTTTCTACTCAGATGCCAAAAATACAATAAAAATATGTTAACTTTTGAAAGGAACTTGATGAATTTTTTCAAGAAAAAATATCAAATATGTTAAATACTAAAAAGTTAAACTTTGCTTTAATTGCAAATATCCAGAAATACTGAAATGATTGTATGTTGTTTTACGTTCCATTCGAGGATTTTTCACTAAGATAGAGACGTCACCATATACCGGTGAAGGGTTCCAAATTTAGACCTTTACTTGGAACTCAGGGCCATTAAACGGTACTTCGGTTTTAAGGTCTCATCCGAAAGACCCGAGGCTTTCACTTCTAGTGTCGGGCGCTTGGCAAAGGAACAACCACTACCTATGTTTATGCCTTAGGTTTGTCAAACGAGAATCAACCTAGGCTTCCCGATCACGAGGCACCACAAGGCTACCGTGACCGGTCTAGAAATACTGAAATTAACACACTCAATTAATAACAAATGTAATTTAACTAGAAATGATTGTGTTACATTATTATTGCACAAATGATTGTATGATTTATGCATATCTTCACCTATGGAAGTTTTGAAACATTGTATAAAATGTATGATTTATGATTCTTATATGTTGGGCCTTTGCCAATTACTGTATTGTGTTTGTACCAATAAAATATTTATATTTGTAAAATAAGTCAGCTAAAATGAGCAAATTAAATTGTATTTACCTCCTAAGACCTGTTATGATGAACATTTAGATTTTTTTAAATTGGTTTTGCGCAATTTTACAGAGATATGAAAACAGTCGTTATCAAGTACTTTGTTTTTAAATTATTACATTTTGACCCGCTCCGTTATATCATGATCATTTTTGCAGTTTTGCATTTTGAATAAGTTTGAAATATATCATTATACCTTTGGATTTTCAAATCAAACCATTCAAATTTTTTGTTATAATACGTCTACCAAATTTGGATATTATATGACGTTGTAAAAAAAAAGTTATGACAGTCCGCGAACTTTTCAAACACCTTTCGTACATATATGTCTATACATGTTCATCATTGATACCTAGGCCTTATCTTCAATCATGCTGAAAAAAACAGGACATTATCTGCAATTGATTTTAAGGGAGCCGACTGGGGTTTCATTGTGTGAAAACTACTATAGAGAAACTCTTTAATTTTATACCCTATATACCTTACATTGACTTCAGTATACATGCCAAGTTTAGTGAAAATCTACCGTCTGGTTATTTTTCAGGGACCGTCTCAAAATACGGGTACATTTACTATAGGATTATATAGGAAAATACCATTTTTTCGCACTTCGGAGCAAATTATACAAATACTACTATAGACTTTTTGCTCAAATTTTATTATTTGATTGGTAATACTATATTGTACATTCTGTGCAAGAAACACAAAATTCTACCGTCTGGTTTCCAGAGGAGGCATCTCAAAATGTAAAAATTCATGATATTTTCCTGTTTTTATGGCGTAAAACAAAACATGACAGATACCACAGATTTACATAAAAAATAGTAACAATGATTGCTATATTCTCAATTTCCTATGTTTAAAATTCCAAGAGCATACATTTTATACTTTTTATTTTATGGCATAATTTAATGACCCCGCTTAAAGAACTTCGGTTATTCATAACGTCAAAAACACACTATTATGACGTCTTTCTACCCATCATTTGAAAAATCGTTAAAAAAAATCAGTTAATTAAAAACGTAATTAGATTTTTTGACCTCATATTTCCTAAATTTGTTATTTTTTATAAATTATGTAAAACTAGTTGCTTTAAAAGAGTAAATACGCTTTATTTTACTATGCTGCGCGAAGTATTGCGCAATGAAAACCCCAGTCGGCCCCCTCAAATAGAATTGCTTAAACACAATAGAATAATTAATAGTAAGTGAAATATTTCTTTGTCAATCATAATCGCCAAGAACGGATCAGTTAGTACAGTGACAATGCAGTGTGGGAACATTTTAAGATTCTAAGGTGACCTGGGATTATGGACTTAATGCCTTTTGAATCCGATGTGTAGGCGGATCACCTGGCTTGTGTCAGAGACGCATTTCTGAAGTGAAACGTTAGTGCATGATCACTTCTATATTGTATAAAAGAATTTCTATTAACATACGATAGGTCATACCTTAGATAACATAGTCTGTTTGGTCCCTGTCTTATATAGATTAAAGCCAGGAACAAATCATGCAGGGATTTGTCTCATTTCGTGGTGTTCTAGTGACAATTTCACTGATTTCATTGATAATATCCTCTGCGAAGGCTTTAACCCCTCCTATCCTTGTTTCCCTTGGGACGAGTAAGAGATACTTCGTATATATATATATATATATATATATATATATATATATATATATATATATATATATATATATATATATATATATATATATATATATATATATATATATATATATATATGTTCACACAAACAAAAATTAAAATTATAATAATTATATAATTTAATTATGTTATAATTATATGTTATTGTATTAATTAAATGGTTTTTTCAAATAGTTGTAAAATGCTTAGCACTTGATTATTCACAATTTATTAATGCTTAACATTTATTGCATACGAACATTTAAAACCATCTATTGAATTTCTAAATTTGCATGCTACGAAAATAGCTAACATTATTTAAAACCCAATATTCTGTATATTGATTTTTATTTATTTTTCTTTTCAAATAAATAGTCAATAATTTATTTTCTAGAAACAATTACTATGTGTATTCAAGGCAACTAAATAAATTTCTTTAGACTTTAGAATAAAAAAATGAAACATAATTATCCTAGACAGAGTGTATGAGTCTTAATATTTAACACATAACTATAATGATTAATATTTCAATGTTATAGCATAGGTTTAGAAAGCCATTGAAAACAATCATTTTTTTCCAAATCAAAGCCTGTGTAGATAAGATAAACAACTGTGCAAACTATGGGAGAACTTCCTGTCTTCACCCTTACGAGGAGTGGGCCCGAGATAACTGTCCTCTATATTGTGGAATATGCAATGGTACGTATATATAACAAGAGCACCGCAAAACGGAGCATCCCCTGGAAAAAAAGCATATATTTCCCGATATGATTTATTAGTTCCGTTTGGCACGAACTCACCCACCCACAAGCGCGTTACTATATCCCTCCACGCCCGCGTGGCGCAGTGGTTTGAGCGTTTGCTCTAAAGTCAGAGAGTAAGGATCCTAACGTCGCGGGCTCGAATCCCACTGCGGGACCCTGGAGACCGGTTCTTCGGATAAGACCGTATAAACCTAGGTCCTGTGTTGCAGTAGGTGCTGGCACGAAAAAGATCCCTCACTGCTCAATGGCCCTGCGTGCCGAGTATAGGTCTAAAATTTGCAGCCCTCCACGGCAAGTAGTGGCGTCTCAATATGAGTGAAACATTCTCAAAAGGGACATTAAACAAACAAATATCCCGTCCAGACCTTCACGGTAGCTCAGTCGGTAGAACGCTCGCTCCGTGATCGGAAAGTCGTGGGTTCAAACCCCATCTGCGACTGACATAAGTCGATAAAAACAAGGTAGTGACTGTTCCTTCGCCAGATGCTCGGCACTTTGAAGTGAAAGTTGCGGGTCTTTCGAGTGAGACCTTAAAAACCAAGGCCCCGTGTAACGACAGGCTCCCTCACTGCTGAATGGCCCTGAGTGTCGAGTAAAGGTCTAAACAGGAAGCCCTTCACAGGAATATGGTGACGTCTCTCAATGATCGAGTGAAAAATTCTAGAACGGGAAGTAAAGCAACATACATGCATACAATCAATCAATCAATCAATCAATCAATATTCCCTCCAACTTCGTTGCAAGAGGATAACAAGCACTTCACTTTAAATATATATCAAATGAATATTTTATAGCTTAATTTTATTATTTTAAATGCAATCCAGAAACTAAGAATTTCGCACATATTATAGAATAGAGTAATTGTTGCATTTTATAATAACTCAGAACAACTTTTCTCTGAAATTTGTGAGCACTTAATTCAATTTAGAAAAAAAAGATGTTAAAGAGCATGGGATAGAAGTTAATGAAATCTTTTACAATAATTCCAGGACCCCCCACAACCGAAACTCCCTGTGCTGACACTAGAGATGACTGCGATACTTATGGAAAGAATATCTGTCAGGATGTGAAGTACGCTCCCTGGGTACTGGATAACTGTCGCTATTACTGCAGACAGTGCACTGGTAAGTATTTAATTACTTCATAGTGTCAGTATTATATCACTGTAGACAGTGTACAGGTTCGTATGATATCACTGCAGACAATGTACATGTACTGGTTCGAATGATATCACTGCAAACAGTGTACTGGTTCAAATGATATTACTGCAGGCAGTCTACAGGTTCGTATGATATCACTGCAGACAGTCTACAGGTTCGTATGATATCACTGCAGACAGTGTACTGGTTCAAATGATATTACTGCAGACAGTGCACTGGTAAGTATTGTATTACTTCATAGTGTACAAGGTAGTACACGTAGTACACGTATTAAATCACTGCAGACAATCTACAGGTTCGTATGATATCACTGCAGGCAGTCTACAGGTTCGTATGATATCACTGCAGACAGTCTACAGGTTCGTATGATATCACTGCACACAGTCTACAGGTTCGTATGATATCACTGCAGGCAGTCTACAGGTTCGTATGATATCACTGCACACAGTCTACAGGTTCGTATGATATCACTGCACACAGTCTACAGGTTCGTATGATATCACTGCACGCAGTCTACAGGTTCGTATGATATCACTGCAAGAAGTCTACAGGTTCATATGATATCACTGCACACAGTCTACAGGTTCATATGATATCACTGCAGACAGTCTACAGGTTCGTATGATATCACTGCACACAGTCTACAGGTTCGTATGATATCACTGCACGCAGTCTACAGGTTCGTATGATATCACTGCACACAGTCTACAGGTTCGTATGATATCACTGCACACAGTCTACAGGTTCGTATGATATCACTGCACACAGTCTACAGGTTCGTATGATATCACTGCACACAGTCTACAGGTTCGTATGATATCACTGCAGGCAGTCTACAGGTTCGTATGATATCACTGCACACAGTCTACAGGTTCATATGATATCACTGGAGCCAGTCTACAGGTTCGTATGATATCACTGCAGGCAGTCTACAGGTTCATATGATATCACTGCAGACAGTCTACAGGTTCATATGATATCACTGCAGGCAGTCTACAGGTTCATATGATTTCACTGCAGACAGTCTACAGGTTCATATGATATCACTGCAGACTGTCTACAGGTTCGTATGATATCACTGCAGACAGTCTACAGATTCATATGATATCACTGCTAGTCAGTATATTGGTTCGTATGATATCACGTTAGTAGAATATCACTGCAGAATTGAAAAAGGTTAATATGATACCACTGCAGACACTGCACCGGTTAATATGTAACACTGCAGAAAGTATATAGAATAATACCACTGCAAACAATGTAAAGGTCAGAATGATATCATTATAAAAATGTGACATCAATGCAGAAAACCATCGTTGTTGTAATCATTTGTGCACAAAGGTATGTTACGTGTAAATAAAGAGCTGGATATTAAGTGATATTAAATGCATCTTTTACATTTATTTGACATAAAGCATTTACGCTGATATGAGTCGGAAATTTGCTGACAAGTGATATACGAAATCGACGCATCGTTTTAAAACATATATTCAATATATTTTTAGTTATTAACTATCTACTTTTTTCAATAAAATTACACTCGGAAATAAAAAAAAAATTCAAAAAATTCTAATCCTTTGCAAAAGTTTTCTGAAATAGATATTTAAACGATGCTAGAATATTTATTTATATTATTTATTAGTAAGAGATAAAAATTTTAGGTATTATCTTTGAAAGTAAACTCTCTTTTATCTCGCATATTAAAATGCTTAAAGAAAAATGTACAAAGGCATTAGATGTATTAAAAGTTATTGCAAATAAAAATGGGGGGGTGGGGGGGGGGCAGATAAAAATACTCTTTTAAAACTCTATCGATCTTTAGTTAGATCTAAATTAGAATATGGTTGCATTGTATATGGTTCGGCAAGAACTTCATACATGAAAGCTCTTGACGCAGTCCATTATCAAGGCCTTCGATTGTGCTTAGGAGCTTTTCGAACTTCTCCTGTAAATAGTCTATATGTCGAAGCAAATGAGCCACCGCTGGATTTAAGAAGTATCAAACCCACCTTACAATATATTCTCAAATTAAAAGCAAATATTAATAATCCTGCTTACGATTGTGTTTTTTCATCCGCAGTACGAAAAACTTATATGATAAAAGTAAAACATGTATAAAACCTATTGGTCTAAGATCTAGAAAACATATCAGGGATTCTGACCTACCTTTGGACATTATAAAACCTACAAATTTCTCTGAAATACCGCCATGGAAATTAATTAAACCAAATGTAGACCATCTCTAACTGAATTTAAGAAATTAGAAACCAATTCTTTTGTTTTTAAACAGAAATAAGCCGAAATAAAACAATCTAAAAATTCTACAGTCGAAATTTATACAGATGGTTCTAAAGACATCAATAAAGTAGCAGCGGCTGTAGTGAATAAAAATGTTTTTTTTTCCTTTAAGGCTTCCAAACGAAGCTACAATATTTACAGCAGAAGCAAAAGCCATACAGCTTCAATTTGGATATATTCAATCTTCTAGAGACAACTCTTTTACAATATTGTCGGACTCGCTTTCTTTCTTGTAATCTAAACAAAATATGAACATCGATCAACCATACATTTTAGATATATTAATTTAGTACTACCATTTCACTCAACAAGGTAAAGTAGTTGACTTTTGTTGGATTCCAAGTCATATTGGCATCATTCGAAACACTAAGGCTGATAGTGCTGCAAAATTGGCACTTCAGTACGACATTACCTTTTTTAAAATTCCTTATACTGACCTTATACTGACCTAAATATATTGTGAAACTGTGTAAATTCTCTTTGGCAAATATATTGGGAATTTTGTGATACGAGTAAATTATATGCAATAGAAAACAGTTGACAAATCATCTAACTTCGGCCTGAAACGTCAGGACGAAGTGATTATTTCAAGAATAACACATGCATACTTATTAAATTGAGAACTTCAGCCAGAATGTATATCCTGTGACTATCCGCTTACTTACTATAAATCATATTCTTTTAGAATGTTCTGATTTTCCGTCTATTCGAAGTAGACTTTTCAATAATGTACGAACGATGCGTGAACTCTTTACAAATGTTAATGTTAATACAATTTTAGATTATTTACATGAAACTGATTTTTAAAAGTAAAATCTAAAGGTACACAATGTAATTAAGTTTGTTGATAAACACAGAGAAAGTTTTATTTTAAACTGTTAAAATATTTTTAAATTTTTAAGTCCGTCGGAAGGGACGTTAAATGGTGCCCCGTGTCAAGGATTGCAATCCCCTTGGCACGCAAAAGATCGTTTCTCTGGTTTTCGGAAAAGAATAGGCTCACTGGGGAACCCAAAAAATCTTTCAAAACCGGTCATATTAAATTAATTTTCCGCCAAAATATGGCTGAAATATTGCCGACTCGGCGTTAAACCCTAATCAATCAATCAATCAATCATAAATCCTCAAAACAATGTATATTATGAACAGGATAAAAACACAGATCTCTGGAATCACCAGAGATGGGATCAGGTGCTAATGAGAAGTAAGCATCCCCTGTCGACGGTCACACCAATCATGAGCCTTCTTTGTTGATTTGGTAAACGGAGTCATTCACAGACAAAATAAGTTTATATGTATAGAATAATGGCCAATAATTGGTATGAAGCATGTCAGTGAAAATACGACAATTGAGGTCATTATATAGAACAAAGAATCTACGAAATGCTTACTTTATTCAGGAGAGCTGACGACGGAAAAACAAAAACACTGTTTGAATTCCCGGCTTTGGACATATGATTGATTGTATATTGTTTAACGTCCCATTCGAGAATTTTTCACTCATATAGAGACGCCACCATATACCGGTGAAGGGCTTCAATTTTTGACCTTTACTCGGCACTCAGGGCCATTGAGCAGTGAGGGATCTTTATCATTCCAACGCCTGGCGTGACAGGGGCCTCAGTTTTTAAGGTCTCATTCGAAGGACCCACAACTTTCACTTCAAAGTGCCGAGCGCATGGCGAAGGAACAGTTGCTACCCATTTTTTTTTTTATCGACTTAGGTCAGTCGCGGCCGAGATTTGAACTCACGACCTCCCGATCACGGAGCCAGCGCTCTACCACCTGAGCTACCGTGAACGGTGGCTTTGGATATAAATTTTGCCTTTAAATTAACCGATCTATTTTTGTATTCTGACAAAACAGGGTTAACTTAAGGCCTCTAATATGGAACAAAAAATCTTTCTGTAGTTTTCATTTAGATGTATAGACAAAATTAAATCAATTATATAAGTTTTGATTATGGTTTTTTTCTGAAATCATGAATATTCAGTCATAGACAGGCACAAATAATAAGTGTGTGTTTTTATATTCTTACCTTTTTTTGTTTTAAGAATTCATTTATATATGAATGCCTTATTTTCATACATTGTTAGATTTATTTGGAAGAACTTTGTTGCATTTTTGGTTTGCAGATGGACAGCTAGCAGTTGCAGACTCCAAGACAACAACACTGCGTGAGTACATTCAAACTCATAGTCATCCAATGCCTATAAAATGGCTCGACAACACATCGTAAGTACTGTCATGTTGTAAATTTTGAATTTACCGGGTGGCAGTAAAAACAAAATTTACAAGTTGTAAATTTTGTATTTACTGCCACCCGGTAAATTCAAAATTTACAACATGACAGTACATTCAAATTGATGACTATCTAATGAATATCAAAAACCAAGAATATTTAGTTCCATCCTTAAACATACAATTTTAATTTATCTTAGTCTCACTTTATCTGATTATTGATCTACCCCATTAGAACTGTAAGCATTATTCTGTAGTAAGAACCTTTTTTACTGCGCTTAATATTTTTATCCTGCGTATATATAGCCATTTTTAGTGATTATTATTAAAGTACAGGGAATTAATTTTGATACATAAATCAGGATCAGCATAAGCAAAATAAACACCAGCATCCAGCTAACATCAGGATCAGTATTTAAAAAATAGCACTACCAGGATTAGTATGAGCAAATAAAGCATAGAACTAGCACTTACCTACTTTAACGAGGTTCGCTCCTGAGCTTTTGAGCAGATTCTTATCTTAACCTATATTTCAAAAATTCTGTTTAATGTTTTAATTCTTACAATAAATTTGGATTCTACAATGCCAATTTAACTATATTCAGTTAAAACTCCATGATTAAATTCCATACCAAAATTGTGGCGGAAGGTTTTTTTTTAGAAGAAAATGATCATTTTTTCTCTTTCGAAGTATTTAAAGTATGTTAAGTTTGGATTCTTATTTTTAAATGCAGGCTGCACACATAGTTATTTTGTGTAGGGGACTGTTTTGTACTGGTACTAAATTATCTATTAAATAAACTGTCATGAATTCTATCATCATATTTGATAAATATAGCAAATATATTGTGGAAATGAAGAAAAAAAATAGCCCTAATTTAAGCTTAAAATTAGCACTATTTTAGTAATATCTAAAAATTAACATCACAGACCCCCATTTTTAATTTCCTTTTCTGAATATATACGATACTTTTAACCATTCTTCTTAAATTCAGTAAAATGTCATTACTTTCAAATGATTTTTTTGCTTGTTAAATTTTAATGCCAGAAAAATGAGAATGTTTGAGTGCAAAAAGGTCAAATAATTGAACATGCGGAGTAATTCGAAAATTTCTTCGTTGTTACAAATTTTAATGTGTCTATTTAAGATGAAATAAGAATGTGTTTGTTCACCAAAATTTATTTGAAAAAAAATATTGAAGGAAAAACTTTTAAAATTGATCTATGTGTAAGACGTATTTACAGTGCAAAAAGGTCAAACTAAATGCTCTGTAGCGCCAAAAGAAGCGCATTGACCCCCATTTTTTGTTTTGATTTTTAATAAAGCTATGTGTATAAATCCTAAAAATATACTTGATAAAAAATTCTCATTACTTTTGATGGCAGGATCCAACCTCCTTAAATCAGCATTGACCTACTAGCATCGAAAAATCGACAATTTTCAATCAGTAAAAAAATGAAAATAGATGAAGTACACTAATTTAATCATACGAAATATCAATATAATAAAATATAATGATAAAATAATTACATGTAGTATTTTAATGCTTTAAATTGTAATACTTAAATGCAGTTAATTACTACCGCTAGCATGATGCTACTTCTTGTAGCACTGACCCAGTTTTGAAACAGCAAAGGTAGTATCAGGACAAGGATCGCAATAAGGATAAATAGAATTGAGCACTGTTGTAGTCTATATCGGGAATTATAAAATTAAGCATATCATTAATCTTTTTGTAATGATCTATTCAATGTTTTAGCCCCTCCTCCTTGTGTTAATAAACTTGGAAACTGTGAAAGATACGGTAAAGATGTCTGTAACAACCCATTGTATGCTCCCTGGGCAAAGGACAATTGCCGCTATTTCTGCAGACAGTGCACAAGTGAGTATGGAAAAGCAATGGGAGTTAAAATATGATTTCCGTTGCAGTAAATCGTGTTAATAGGTAAAACGTTTTCAAATAAGAAGAAAAAAATATATATTTTAAGTGGACTTATTGTAAAAACACTTATTTTCGCCGGGGTTTAATTTTCGTTGTGTTCATAGTATAAGAGGCTCAGTCTTTCCAGGAAATGTTAAATTTTGAAAATTAAAATAATTTTTCTCTCCTTAAGCCATGGAATCAGATACCAATGAAAAAAATCTTTCTTCCCCGATCCTTAACTGGATCCCACGAAAAAAGTATTGTTAGAGTACTTTTTGAGAGTAAATATTCGGTGTGTACATTTTCTGAAACATTGTGATCCTCATTGTGAAGTAAATATATTCTGTGTTAACTCAGTATATGTTTTGCCACTGTGGAATAGCGTGTTAACCCTAGTGTGTTCAGATTTTCTGATTGTTACATTTTTTCCCAGGGGAGCAGTTGGATATTGCAGACTCAAAAACTACCACCACCACTGGTAGGTGCATTTGTATTTAAGAAAATATATAGGTTCTTCTAGCACAAATATTAACACCACAAAAGCTAAATATCGGGCATTCGTTGAATGCTTGCTAAAGGAATAATTATATCTGGTCAAGCTGCAATTGAAAGCAGCACAGATGGGTCATGCTAAATTATGTTCCATATTTCAGATATATTTGCCTTCGCCTCTGGAACAACTTTCTGTTTACTAGTAAATTAAATAACCTCTGATTCTTTAATTGTTCTTAATGTTTAACGTTCCTATTTAGTGCACTAAAAAGCAACGTTATATATTAAGGACACTTAAAGAATCAGACGTCATTTAATTTACTAGTAAGGAAGATGCAGGTTTTTAATAAAAACTTTTCTTTCAAGTTCGTCCTACACCAGGATTGGCCTGTGTAGATATGGTACCTCACTGTGATGTATATGGTGACAGTGTTTGTACCAGTGCCGATTACCGATCCTGGGCAGAAGCAAACTGTCGTGCTTATTGCAAGATCTGCACGCCATCTGGTGAGCAAGATTGTAAACACATTTGTTTTTTTTTTTTGTTTTTTTTTTTTTTTAGATTTTAAATGTCTTTAATCAGAATTAAGAAGAATTATACGGCAATATTGATAACAGCTTGAGTTTACGAAGACAACGGTTACATATAAGCCTTTAATGAGAAAAACAATTTGGATGTAAAATTTTATGAGCAAAAGGAAAAATTATACCAACATCAAGTCAGTTAAACAATTTAGCTTAGAATTTTACTTTTGTAATGGTAGAACTTTTCCTTTAAGGTGGTCCGATCCCCAGGTTCTGAAAATCAGCTTTTAAGTAATTGAAAATGCTCACAAAAATTTTTCTGATTTCATAGAGCAACGTAAATTTACCCATGGTATTTCTTCAAAGTTCATCATTATAATTAATCATATTATATAGGGAAAATTATCAAATTTCAAATATATTTTCAGGAAAAGCGAATAAAAATGCCAGCTATGCATTTTCTATATGAAAATTGATCAACAAATATATTTTAGGATAAAAAAATATAGGTATTCAGGCATTTGGAGAATTTTTTTTTTCTTTTTTATGCTTATACAATATTTTATTTCTTCTATTTACTTCATTTTTTTTATGTAATACATAGTGTAAAAAGCTTTTGCTTTTATTGCTAGACTTCACATATCAGTCTTATTTCATATCCTGCTAATAAACATTGGTATCTCATGACAGATTAAAGGAAATTCAATTTCTCTAAAAATGAATTAATTTTTATTTCTTTTCATGGGGTAAAAATGTCAACTTTTTACAAGACCATTTCTAAGACATCAAAGAACCTTGAATCATATTGAGATGCATAAAATGAAAATTGTTGCACGAAAAAATCTCAATTTCAAGCTTCATTTTGAGACTTTTTAAATATTAGAATAATAAATTTAAGTTATCCTTCCTGGCTGAGGATCAGATATCCTTAAATCCACTATCATTTTGAAAGCATTTAAAATCTAAAGTGAAAATATGTTAATTAATTACAAGATCGAAGTCATTTATCAAAACTTTGTCATTTTTTAATGTTACCCCCCTCCCCCTTCCATCTTCTTATCAATCCTCAAGGACAATATCTGCAATTGAAAAATGTGTTAAGAATCGTGTATTGCATACTAGTATTTGTATAGATATATTTTAACAGCAGTATTATTTTTTCAGTCATTTAAGTTGATCCTTTTCTTTGTTTTTCAATCATTATGATATTGAATGTTTTTCAGCAAGTGCAAAGCAAATTGACGGATTCCAGATGGTTCCAGCGGGAAAAAGAGGAGTGGAATGATAATACGAAGCCAAGTCATACACTATGTTCAAGATGGGGGTTCATACAATTAAAAACCTATATTTATAATCAAGCTGTTCTGACAAATTTCAAATTTGTCTAATAGTACTAAGAGTGAAACTTTCTCAAATTTTCGCGTTTTCACCCGAAACTTTCGCAATATGCATCAAGAATCTTTCTAGATCAATGAGGCAATACAAAATTTCACTTTATATATATATATATATATATATATATATATATATATATATATATATATATATATATATATATATATATATATATATATATATATATATATATATATATATATATACTCAAGAAATAAGATTTTGTTTTGATTGCTACTTTGAGACAATGGATGGATCAAATACAACGATTCTTCTTTGTAATATGCTAAAATATATCTTAGAGGGTACGTATCATAAACACAGTATCTATATATACCACCTAAAATTATGGTACAGGCATGCGTTCATGTTCAAAACATGTCAATACAATGATTATGGAAAATTTTAAAATGTTTAGTACATCTAGTTTATAATATGATGCTAATATGCTTTGCCAGCAAGGTAAAACCTCTCAGCGTAGTGTTATACAAATAATCCTTGGTCAATGTTGATGTTAATGAATCATGCTTTTAGGAAATGATGTAATATGGAGATGAAAATGTTTACTCATTGCAATTTAAATATTCTTTCTTGATGAATGTCAAACACAGCCGAGCTTGGTGAGTTGCATCGTCGGATACCCAAGGGTGATCTTGTCTTTTACTATTTAGTATGATGAGTAAAAGACGATATCACCTGTGGGTATCCGTCAATGAGTAGAAGATAATCTCAACCATGTGTATCCATTGATTAGTTGAAGATTATCCGTTGGTATCCGTCGAAAGATTAATTAAAAACGAGATCATCTGTGGGTTTCCGTCTAACGATGAAAAAAAGACGAGAGCATCTGTTGGTATCCGTCGATGAATAAAAGGAGACATCACCCGTGGGTTTCCGTCTACCAATGATAAAAAAGACGAGATCACCTTTGGGTATCCGTCCATAAGTAAAAGGCGACATCACCCGTGGATGTCCTCCGATGAGTCAAACACGAGATCACTTGTTGGTGTCCGTCGATGAGCACTAGTAAAAGATCAATTCACCTTTGGGTATCCGTCGATGAATAAAAGAAATCATCCGTGGGTATCCGTCTGAGGTTGAGTAAAAGACGAGATCAACAACAGGTATCCTCCCAATGATGATAAAATACAAGACACCCGTAGGTATCTTGTATTTTATCTGATTGATTATCTGTTTGATGACGAGTAAAAGACAAGATCACCTATGGGTGTCTGCCCAACGATGAGTAAAAGTCGAAATCATCCGTGGGTATTCGTCCAACGATCAACAAAAGTCGAAATCATCCACGGTTCCTTTTAACGATGGATGAAAGACGAAATCACCACTAGATGAGGAGTAAAAGACGAAATCATCGATGGGTATTCGTCTGTCATTAGTGAAAGACCCATCCATGTGTATTCGTCTGATGTTGAGTAAAAGACATCATAAACTGCTGGTATCCGCCCAACAACGAGTAAAAGACGAGATCGTCCGTTGGTATACGTCGATGAATAAAAGGCGAGATCACCTTTGGTAAGATCATCTGTGATCATCTGTGGGTATTCGTCAATGAGTATCTGTCCGTCGATAATTTAAGTAAAAGTCGAGATCACCCGTGGATGTCTGTCTGACTGTGAGTAAAGGACGAGATCATTTGTGAATATCCGGCCGTCGATGAGTTAAAGTCGAGATCTTCCATGGGTATCATTCCGACGACAAATAAAAGACGAGATCATCAGTGGGTATCCTCCCAACGATAAGGAAAAGACGAGATCGTCAATGAATATCCGTCCGTCGATAATTGTCGAGATCACCCGTGCGTATCCGTCAAACGATAAGCAAGAGACGAGGTCACTCGTGGGTTTCCGTCCGACGGTCAGTAGAAGAAGAGGTCACTGGTGGGTATCTGTCCATAAATTAAGGACGAGAACATCCATGGGTATCCGTCCGACGATGTCAATATAAACATCTGAGGTGAGGGTAGGTAAATATTGTCGCTTGCTACATTAAGTAGAGATAATATACCCTTATAAACCTCTCGTTGTTGACTGCTTTATTTAGATTTTACTAGTATGGATTTCGCCTTATATTAGCTGTTAATTTTTAGAACTGCGATTATTCTTATTGAAAGAAATATGTACAAGCATGGAAAGACATAGAAGAATAAAATTATGATTCAATGTTTCAAAAAGAGAACTTGTTAATTCTTGTCAATATTAAAAGAAATCATATCACATATACATTTTACCGGTATATTGCTGAGCAGGAAATTTTTTGAAAGAAATTAGTTAAAGTTTACTCAAAGGACAAAACATAATCTTTATGCAGTTAGATTTAAAAATTTGCATAAACAGTACATAATGCAAAAGATTTCCTTTTAAAAATTATATAACAACGAAGTTTGTTTCATTGCATATTGTGTATATGTGTACTTTGGCAAATAATGTAATCTGGTCGGCTATTGTTTGAAACTTGTTGAAGTTCCTTTAGAAACAAAATAAAAGAGGTCGAAATGCTGGTAGACTGAACAGATAGTCGCCCGCGTGGCACAGTGGTTAGAGCGTCTGCTCTAGAGTCGCGGAGTAAGGAGTTGATCCTTAAGTTGCGGGTTCGAATCCCACTGTGGGACGTGGAGACCGGTCCTTCGGATGAGACCGTAGGTCCCGTGTCGCAGTAGGTGCTGGCACGAAAAAGATCCCTCGCTGCTCAATGGCCGTAAGTGCCGAGTATAGGACAAAATTTGCAGCTCTCCACCGGCAAGTGGTGGCGTCTCCATGTGAGTGAAAAATTCTCGAGAGGGACGTTAAACAACATACAAACAAACAAACAAAACTGAACAGATATTCTATACAAAATAATTCCCATTCTAACGAGGTCGTCCATGATATTTTCATATTTTGTAATGCGTGGGTGTAAAGAAAATCTAAATTTATTGTCAGGTACAACGTAAAACATGTCATAATTTTTTTGGGATCAAATAGATCTCGATTTTACATATTCTATTATATATTGAAAATAAATATTTCATTACCATGTTAAAAACACTCATTGTTGAGACAGCAATACGGGTAAAATTGATTTAAAAAATTTAAATGCTTTTCTCTTTATTAATAAAGAGAAATAAAAATTTAAATATGATTTCCACTTTTCTTTTAAATTCTCTCAGGTTCACAAATGGTTTATAGGACATGACTATGGTTTAAACAGAAATAACGAGACTTTCCGTTCCTTTTATTTGATTTATTTGTGAATTCCCATCCTTAATTACATGTTAAATAAGTCAAAAACATATTTTTAAATACAAAGTTATTACAAAATTATTAGGCCATTATTTAAACATGTATTGTCTACGGATTTTTCCGTTTACTCGATCATGGCAATGAGCACACGGCGGGTGTGACCTGTAGACAGGGGATGCTTACTCCTCCATGGCACCTGATCCCAACATTGATGTTTTTTAGAGGGAGGCCGGTGTTTGCTTTGCTCCCGATTTGTATTGTTTCAATGGAGTTTTGACCTGGATTACTGGTTGTTATCTCCATATTTGTATATGGTTGGGCGTTCCTTATAATAAGAATATGCACACGAAATATAATCATGTTCAGTACAATGTGACGTGATTAAAAAAATCTAGTTAAAAATAGTAAAGTGGTTACTGTGAATTTAGAAGATTCAGGAAAAAGAGTAAAACTGGTTTTAAAATTATTCATCTTCCCCGTCTGTGCTTGTGCAGTTGTCAATTAATGCAGTATTCGATTGGAGAAATAGTTTTTTATTAGTCAAAGCTTTAGAAGGAGTAAATTACATCATATTGAAGGGTCGTGTTTAGGTTAGATTTCCTTCTGTTGATGAGTATTTCTTCCAGGAAACAGTGATTTGTAAGACTAGTCTTAATTCTAGAAGTACATCCATCCTTTTATAAACACATCTGCACTACACTGTGTACAGTTTATGAATGAGCCCTGTCCATTCACCTGAAGTTTTCTTTAATAACACACAGACAGACAGACAGACAGACAGATAGATAGATATAAAATACTTAAAATGAAGAAGAAAAACCTCAGTAAAGCTTTAGGCCTTTCATTCTATCTTCAGAATATATTCCTTCTTTTTTATGTCTTTCTCCTATCAATCATGCAACTCTTTCTCTCTTTTGTGTATGTATATTGTGTAACATGTATATGACTATATATAAATGTTTAAATTTAATTTACAATGTACTTTCTTCTTGCCCCATGAGGGCCCTTAATTGGTAAATAAACAAATTGAATTGAATTGAATATATATATATATATATATATATATATATATATATATATATATATATATATATATATATAAAGCACATTTTACAACAACTCTTAAACTAACATAACTGCCCTAAGTGAAGAAATATTAATATAGAAAGCACAAAGAAATTCACTCTTATAAGGATACCCACTTCCGCCCCAGCCCGAGGTTGAACTCTCGACCTACGGAATCTGTCTCCTAGCAGTACAGGAACAGCGCGCTAGACCGCTCGGCTATCTAGGCAAGTCAAAAACTTGCTTTCGATGCCGATGGAATTCTCGCGGCGCTGCCCTGGTCATAGAGACTGGAAGTGAGATACAGTTATTTGGACATCAGTTTTATTAGAGGATCGTTACCAATACACGTTGTAATGAAATTAATTTTTATTTATAAAGCACATTTTACAACAACTCTTAAACTAACATAACTGCCCTAAGTGAAGAAATATTAATATATAATAATATTAATTAGGGAAGTTAAGTTAGTTTAAGAGTTGTTGTAAAATGTGCTTTATAAATAAAAATTAATTTCATTACAACGTGTATTGGTAACGATCCTCTAATAAAACTAATGTCCAAATAACTGTATCTCACTTCCATTCTCTATGACCGTGTAGTGTAGGGCAGCGCCGCGAGAATTCCATCGGCATCGAAAGCAAGTTTTTTGACTTGCCTAGATAGCCGAGCGGTCTAGCGCGCTGTTCCTGTACTGCTAGGAGACAGCTTCCGTAGGTCGAGAGTTCAACCCCGGGCTGGGGCGGAAGTGGGTATCCTTATAAAAGTGAATTTCTTTGTGCTTTCTATATATATATATATATATATATATATATATATATTCATTCTGGAGTCTTTCTATTTTTTGACATATTCTTTGTTTATAACCTGTAAACTGATAACAGATATAAGAATATCAGGAAGATCAGGAAGGATTTTTATTTTCTGTTCTGAATAATTGTGTTTTCTTTAAGGAAGTATGGCTTCCCGTTCAAGCAGCTTTTAATTCTATTTTTTAAAAAAAATTTTCTCGACAGTTTTTATGCACTATATTAGGAATAAAGGATGATTGTGTATTTTTTTGAGGGGGGGGGGGTGTTTTGTCTTGTTTTTTCTGTTTGTTTGTTTTGTTTGTTTGTTTTGTTTTGGTCTTTTGTGATAGGAGATGATTTTATCTTGAAATGTAAGTTCATATTCACAGTATGTTTAGAGGATATTTTAAGAACGTTAACATGGATAGGACATGCACTGACCTAAGTTCAATACATGTACATAATAACTTTTTGCATTACAGATTTATTTCTGGAGTGCAAAGCCTCAGACCTCATATTGGTAGGGTATTTAGATTTAAAAGATTTTTTAAAAAATATTTTGTCAAATCTTGTATGATAATTTAGCCAGCGATGACGTAAACTGTTCCAGCAAAGTCATGACAATACCTCGATTTAACCTCATAAGTATAAAGTAAACATGGTAATATTTATGAGTTGACAGTGCCGATTTTTCTTAATCTAGAAGGCTTGCGATTAATGGAAACATATTAAAAGAACTTGGATACAGATTTGAATTAAAATTTTCTATGATTTTCAGTATATTATCATGACTTATGTATTGCTAGAGCATTTCACATCGAAATATAACAAAAGCGTGTTCAGGAACTCCTTTTATCTGGGATTTATTAAAACTACGAATTTCGGGAAGCGTTTGATTGACACATATCTTTGCACTTACACAAAGTAAACGATACCTTTATACCTAAGAAAAGTAGAAATTTTGTTGTGTATTTCTGAAAAATATTAAAACTATATTAAGAAGAGTGTCGTTGTCATTGAATTCTCAGAATATTCATTTGTCAATTCATTAAACTAATTTTTTTGAATAAAAAAAAATACACTGTAGAATTAAATTTTAGATTGTAAACAATGCAGCTGTGTCCAGGCCCCTTCAACGGTCTGTTTACTATACCTCTTTAGAAAGTGTGAGTATTTTGACGAATGGAATCACTGGGGATTTTTAATTCGTCATTTTTTCCATGTTTCCACACCGTTAACCTATCTGCACTTACTTTAAAATTAGATTTTATTGAACCATGCAAAAGACATACGTCCCATAAGTAACTACCATACATACATGTGTATATACAATTTATGTATCACATATATGAACAACGAGTCTTTTTGTGAGCAGCTAGCGGTTAGCATCCCTATCTCATCTCTATAGCCCTTTGACTTTCATTTTTGGAAAGTCCTGGTCGTTTCCATATTACACTTTTTTTTTCAATCGTGGTCGAAAAGTTTTTCGAGTAGAAAATGCTTCCCAAATCATGCATAATTATTTATGTAGACATAATCAGATTAGCAAAAAAAAAAAAAAAAAAAAAAAAAAAAACGTAATTGATTATACCTGTCCAAATCCTGGAATTTGCCATTGCTCGGCCTTACTGCAACAAAAAGTGGTGGTGATGGTGGTTTGGGGGGGGGGGGGGGGGGCAGCCAGCATAAAGGGAAATTTACTATAGCAAAATACTATACTCAGGGCCCCCGCGTTCTACGGGATTGCCTCAATCTAATGCCATACTTAGGGGACCGTGACGGCCATATCATGCATTTGATTCTGAGAGGGAGGGAGGGCCTGGCAAAATATTTCGATTCAGATGTTTATTAATTTTCATGCCAGTAAAGGACAGATTGATTTTTTCAAGATGATCAAGGACAGATTATTTATTTTCTTTTTTAAGCAAAAGAAAAAAAATTACAACAAAGACTCCAAAACTCTATTTCGTGAGAGGGAATAGCATCGGACAGATTATTTATTTATTTATTTTCTTACCTGTCGGGGACAGATTATTAATTTTCAACATTTTCGAGGACAGATGATTATTTCAGTCTCCAAAATCTGCCAGACCCCCCTCCGCCCCCTCCCCCGATTCAAATGGCCGTCCCTTTAGAAGAATTCGGTCACTGATTTTTTCCATCGTGAACGCAGTGGATTTGGGAAGGGTGAAACATAAACTCTGGGTTTCTCTTTGCATTACCTGCATAGCACTTGAAACATTTCGGAATTTAAAACTCCCTCTTCGATTGCTATACGGGCCACCGTTGAGTAAATATAAATAAACGAGCAAAAGACGACTGACAGGGGTTCTGAGTGTGTGTACTTGAATAGATACGAAAAAACAAGGAAGTAATTTTTCCGGTGAGATGAGAAATCGGGGATTACGACTTGACAAGTCAAAGTTTACGTGAGATAAAGAATATACAGTAAATTAATTTGGATGTGTTCATAGAAATAGCAAACAATACGAATTTTCCATAGCAGTTCGAGTGATCTCTATCCTGTTGACAAGTACCTGCACAGGTGTGATAAATAGCGACACGGATAGGTGAGTGTGTAATAGACTCTCTGTTCGAGCCTTTTTAATGTTAATTTCATTTCCTGATGGATAGATTACTGTGTGTATACAATAATATTGAAGAGCAAGGCAAACTTTTTTGGGGGTGGGGGGATACATGTATGTTTATACACAGGGTTGTCCCGAAGAATTGAAATAGAAGGGGACGTTAAAAAAGTAGAAGGGGTCTGGGGTTCCTCTCCTAATGGAGAGTTTAAGGTGAATACCAAAATAACCGGGAAATTACATTATTATGGGGGATGGGGGATTCCCTGGCCCCTGGATCTTAGGTACAACCCTGATACATACTAGAGCTACGTATCTGTTCAACTGTCTGTTTTCACAGTGTTCGTTACATGTTTTACGGGATGAACTTGTCCGTCCAATTCTAATTCTGGGCCAACCGTGAGTTTTCCTCTTATTGTTGAACCCACATTCATAAAACCTCCAATAAGCCAACACGCGTTATAGTTTTAGTACTTTTATATAGAATCAGCATAGAATATACTTTTACATGAGTTTGGAATGTATCAGCACCGAACGTCTGATTCCAACTGACTATAATTTTTAACAACAAAACATACATACTGGACAAAGATATGACAAAATAAAGGGATTAACAAGAACGTATAAAGAAATCAAGTATCAACAATTATTGAGCGACTGGTGACATTTTAGCGGCATGTATATAATAGAATTAAAGAAGATGAAAGATTAAGTGACAATAAATATAAACAGAAATCAATTAGGGGATTAACTGTCCATGTCAGACTGCCTCAGGTAGGATTAAAGCTGTGCGGAATTTATAGAATTTATCACATTTGCCGAAATATACGAAAAGTTTTTATAACAATTTACACATAGTCCGAAAAGTTAATTTACACAGTAATTTATAATTAGTCCGAAAAGTCGTATTTTACACCGTAACACATGCTCCGCCTTCGCGTAAAACACGTCCTCGTGTTTTGATTTTTTTTTTCAATAAAACTGGCCTCTTCTTGGTCTTCCCTGATGTCTACGTGGTTGATATCGTTGTTTATTTTCCACAAACAAGGCGAGCAAATGATCCTTTTCATTTTCCAATGTTCGGATGGTCTGTAGCAGGGCTTTGTTTTCTTCCCTTAACTGTTTGGTTGTTTTCACAGCTTCTGCCTGAATTTGCATTACATACTGATTATGTTCCTTTCCGATCTCGTTCAATTTCCTCTGCATTAAGTCCATAATCACTCTGTCACCGTGCGCGTCGTCTTCCAATTTGCGAATTTTCTCACGATAGATGTTATCATTAGAATTGTTAGATTGTTCTTGCATCTTCTTTTTCATAACCATATTTTGATTTTGAAGTTTTTTGATTTCAGATTCGGCTTTTGTTAATTCGGCCGTCAAACTCCTTTTCTCTTTATTTGCATTGCATATTTGAATTTTTAGATTTTTCAGCTCAGTTCGTAGAACACACGAATTATCACATATTGAACGAAACTGACTGTCCCGAAGAGAACTGAATGGCAATTCTCGCAGAATTCGTTTATTTTCGAGATACTTGCACAGTCGTTTCATGTCTCGAGTGTTTTTCCTGCTAGCAACCGGTCCTTTGCCCTTACTTTTTGGCTTTGATTCTTTAATCTGCGTGAAGCACATCCTAGAATAATGTCCAATTCTTTGACATCTGTAGCACTTCTGGTTAAACGCGAAACATAAAACGTTAGGGTGTACGTTTCCACACCTTCCGCACACTGGATGCTGACACGAAGGGAAGTTGAACTTCTTCTGTCTCCACTGCGGTCGGAAAGAATATTCCATGGCTGGTCCTAATACGTGTACGTCTGCTTCATCTGTATCAGCACTGTCAAAATCTGGGGAAACTCGCTTTCTGGCTCTTGTAGAGGTCCAGGATCTGACTACTACAAAGTATATGTAGCAGCCCCGGGTGTCATTACCCTTAGGTTTCTCCCACCAAGTTTTACGGGATGAACTTGTCCGTCCAATTCTAATTCTGGGCCAACCGTGAGTTTTCCTCTTATTGTTGAACCCACATTCATAAAACCTCCAATAAGCCAACACGCGTTATAGTTTTAGTACTTTTATATAGAATCAGCATAGAATATACTTTTACATGAGTTTGGAATGTATCAGCACCGAACGTCTGATTCCAACTGACTATAATTTTTAACAACAAAACATACATACTGGACAAAGATATGACAAAATAAAGGGATTAACAAGAACGTATAAAGAAATCAAGTATCAACAATTATTGAGCGACTGGTGACATTTTAGCGGCATGTATATAATAGAATTAAAGAAGATGAAAGATTAAGTGACAATAAATATAAACAGAAATCAATTAGGGGATTAACTGTCCATGTCAGACTGCCTCAGGTAGGATTAAAGCTGTGCGGAATTTATAGAATTTATCACATTTGCCGAAATATACGAAAAGTTTTTATAACAATTTACACATAGTCCGAAAAGTTAATTTACACAGTAATTTATAATTAGTCCGAAAAGTCGTATTTTACACCGTAACACATGCTTTGATATATGGGTTCAGAGGCAATGAGTCCCATTTTAGAATTTCTCTGAAAATAATCCAGACCGATGATAAGTGTTATCACCTGACAAAGATAACACAAGAAAGTTGGTGTCTACTTTCACTGTGATGTGTTTTGATATGTGTGTATGTGTAATGCCTACAGTTTCATGCATGTTAATTAAACCAAACTATTAACAGTGCAGAAGCTGAATGTGGTAGATATACATGTAAATACATGCAGTGAACACGTTTGGTCCACAGGGGTTCGGTTTCAGGGTGGTGTATTATGTGCATTGTGTGTTTTTCTATGTCTGTCTAAATATGTACTGATTATATAAATAAAAATCGAAATTCGCTGAAAATCGCAGTCCAAAAAAGAAATCGTATTTCAATGTACATAAAAAAGAGACTTGGACCTATATTAATATATGCGACAACCCTCGATGGTATAAAATACTAACATCCTTAAATTCGGAAAGAGGGTCTAAGATGGTGTCCTTATATAAAGTTCATCTTTGATTGAAAGTAGCTTTCTATAAGGCCTGGAGATCTGCATTCTCTGATTGGTGCCCCTTTTCTCGTTCCTCAGCAATGATAAAAAAATCTTCCAAAGTCCCAACGTTTCTTTCTCTTCCATGATCTTAAGAATTGATTTTTATTTTTGATTTTATTTTAATTTGAGAATTTCAAATGCAAATAAACCACATTGATACAAATTTCTTTAAATAAACGTTTATAATGATGATTATATGCATAACTTCCGTAAATATTGATTAGTAGGCTTAATTATTTACAAAGCTTGCACCAGTTATACAGGTACCTGTAAAAGAGCACTTGTATAAAACTATGTCAATACAAATCAGCCATGTTACTTTGTATAAATACATGCACTATACTCCCTTAGCCGGCTAAAAATTTTCCTTATCACAATTAAAAATCATTTGAAAAAAATAATTTCCGTCCGTTGATTCCCAAGTTTGACAAATTCTGAGCCAGATCCGGGAGCTATTTTTATTCGTATTTATTTCCTTTATAGATTATATCTCCTGTATATTAATATAAATCTGTACCAGTGCATTGGAATAAAACAAAGCAAGCATTGCTGATTAATCGTGCATGTTGGTCAGGCAGTTTTCGTTCCTGGTAGCGAGATCAAAGGGTTAAGGCTCGAAGACTTTTTATGTATACTGTCTCATTTTCTTTCTTTCTGTTACAAACGCAAGCGTACATGTTTGTGCAGTGTATTATCATTTTTGTAAAATCCTATACTTACACAAATGTATATAATTTTTACTTTTTATGTGAATCTTAGTTGTTGTGAAAACGGAGGACCAAATCTCTTTCATCCACTTCATACAATAGGCCCTCCATTTGTGCTCAGATGGTAATACATAATTTTTTATACATAGACAGATTCTGAGATTTGCATACGGTTATTCCCTAAATACACACACTTCAGGATAAGTTGAATGAGTTTTAGTTCCCCAATCGGAAAGTACACAATTTTTCTTTGTCATAAGAGGTTATATGTTGAGTTGCTCAGTAAACCTGTAATGGGTATTACGCGAATCTCGAGGACTTGTATTTATTATTACGGAATATAAGCAAGCTTTTAATTCTAAGGAGACAAGAGCTTTCATTTGACAGTTTGATGTTCTCTCTAGTGATACGTACGTAATTATATAGATATAAGTTATATAACATTATTTTTCATTATAGTTTTCTTTTGTATAATCATGATAATATTGTACTTGGAAAGAATAAGGACGAATAAGCAAAGAAAATGCCTATAGTTGGAACCCTCCCCCCCCCCCCCCCAAATGATATTTTCTTCCATAACTAGACGTTTACTGTACATATGTATATATCATTTTATATAAAAATGTGTTTTCTGGAAAATCTAAACAACATGATAACAATTTCATTAGTATTGAAGGTATTCAATTATGAAACTTTATTTATAACACTTCAAATTAGTCAATACTATTTTTTTCCTAGTACAGTTGTAGTATAATACAATTTTTCCTAAATGTATGTTCTCCGCTCCATTATTTTAAAAGTAGATTTTTTTCAGATACTATGGAACAAGGACCACTATCAATGAAAGTACAGTTTTACGACAAAATATTCGTATCTTTGGTGAAAATAGCTTAAGTACAGTAACAGTGTTTTTCAAGGATCACAAGCAGGATTTAAATGCCACTACGTGTTTTGGGTTGCGTGGCTTAGTGATGAAGTGGCGGTCTCCTTGATAAAAACTGATAAAAATGTTATCTCCCAAAGTGAACGGGAAGTATATCGCCAATGAATTTCTTTCATTTGTTCTATAATTTTTGCCGACAGAATTTGCAGTAGAAGAGTAATCTTTGGTATAATTTCATAGCCAGTACTATTAATGAATTATGAAATCATAACATTTTAAGTAACTTCAAGAACTTAATTACAATTCAGGCGCTTCTATGGTTAATACGTAGGCCCCGTTTTACAAAAGAACTTTCGACTAAGCTAAAGATATAATTTTGTAAACAAGTTTCTTATTTACTTTAATACAAAAATAGTCTTAATCTTTTTGAAAATAAAGAATTTAGAAGATATCACATGTATATCGTATATCTATATATAATATTTATGCAGACATTTTCTAATAGATTCAAACAAATGTCCGTTCGGGATTTTTTTTTTTTTTTGGGGGGGGGGGGGACTTGCAAAAGAAAATAGAAATTAACAACTTGCCACTACCTGAAAAGTCATATGCTGAAATAAAACCTATTTTGTGGGAGGGGAATGGGGTAGGACAAGCCACTTTTCTAAATCTATTTTCTTTAGATATATGACTCTCCTCATCATTTTACGAGGGGATGGGGCGGGGGGCGGAAGAGCAGGTCATTTTCTTTACATGGACATTTTATAAGTGAATATCCAAGGGTGATCCGGACCTCCCCCCTCCTTATGCGACCCCACAAGCTCTCTAGATCCGCGCATGACGTATTAGAGTAGCGTGACTTATTACTGTCATTAAAGAACGTTAAAAACTTTGAAAAATTACACAGCAGCAACAACTTGCCTTAAACACGCAAACCATGTCAACAAACTGGCGAGCCCTTTATGCAGACTCCAAAATAAGGATAAATGTTTTGTTAACATTATTGTTTTAAAGTTCCCATGTACTTATTATTGGGTGCATGTGTCCGATGTGAACAATTGATGCTTCAAAATAAGTATACTTTTCAATTAAACATCTTCTGATTTCATGCCTTTTATCGTAGGTTTAAATCTTGTCGTTTTATTTTTCAAAGCCACAATTTAAAGAAACAGTTCATAAAGCAGTTTCTGGAACGAGGAAGTAGATATGTGATATACCCACTACCTGTACACTAAAATTACCCCACGTGTGTATGGCTATCAAATCACATATAATAATTTTAGTTTCTTTTTTCTTCAATGTTCACAAAGACATTTTAGAGGTGTAAAAACATTTATTTATCTTCATTTTTTTGTTAATCGTAATACAATGTGCACTTTAAACCTTAGATTAGTTAACAACAACATTGAATGTTTATTTCCCCCCAAATCTGTTTAAAATGAATTTCCAAACAATCCTTTAATATGAAAGTTATACACCGAGGTTTGGTTACGTAATATATAAGTAATATAAGTAGCAATTGAATTCGTTTGTTACCCCAAAAAGTCACGTGATGTTTATCATATTTCGCAAATCATACCTATTCTTTGCAACAAGAATCTTTTATACTGATTGCATGCTATGAAAACCAATCACACGAGAAAAAAATTAAGGTGAAATACACAAAGTGCAGCGATATTGAGGTATACTTCCCTGCAGAGAGTACAGTGTGTAATTGACTGTCGACCAATGTCAGTGTACAAACGAGGCCAAAATAAGAAAAAAAAATATGTATAGCCTTTTCGGATCCGAACATTTAACATAGGGTAGGTAGGTAGGAATTTAAAGTAGAAAGGAAGGGGAAAAAATTTCAAATTCAGATACATGTATATCTTTGTGCAAAATTTTATATTTTTATCATCAGTGTGATTTACTAAAGCAATCATGATCATCAAAAAGCGATCTGTAACTGTCAAATTTTCT